TCGTTTAGCACTATGAGTTGTATCAGGCTTACGATTATAACGCGAAAGGCGTATACACATTGGTCGTTATCAATGTCAGGTCATTGTCCAGCATTTGTATGGATTAGCATTAGATCAGATTACAAGGAACTGAATTAACCTCCCCATGTACAACACTAAAGTTCAAGTCCGATAGGCGTGCTCAAGGTAGCCCCCTTCCACTGTTGACAGCGTCTGCTAGCTGACTCGTCCCTGGTCTGTTTTCAGCATACCTCTCGTAGCTATCCAGGTAAAGCTCATCGGTGCTCGTAGTCATCCTCACACTCTTATCCGCTTCAATCGCATCGACCCACTGTTTCCACCTGCTCCCCGCCTCGGCCTCTGGCCATCCCCTGTATGGACCCAGCACTCTTCGTAATCGGATGATCCAAGGTGCAATCTGCACGTCTACGAAAGAAATATGGGGACCAAGGAAAAAAGGCCCAGTAGGATCTGCTGCATCAACTAGCTTTCCGATTTGATTACGAAATTCGGTGGCATGTGAAACTTGATCGCTTTGGTCCTGAGCTTGAAGGAGCTTGTAAAAGTACGGGATAATGTTGCGGTTGATGTGGTCAGACCAGAGTCTTGATGTAGCGCGGCTCTGAGCATCAGGAGGTAGGAGAGGCGGTCCCTTCTGGAGGTCTTCAAGGTACTCCATAATCACAGTAGACTCATGGGTTGACCATGTTGGTCCATGCCTAAGCGCAGGAACCAAACCACGTGGATTGACGTCAAGAAGACTCTGTGGCTTTTTGTAGGGATCGACTTCGATGTATTGATAGGGTATTTGCTTGTGCTCCAGTGATATCCAGACACGCTGCACGAAGGGGCTTTGTCATGTTAGCACTGTCTGTATGACGTCATCTAGTTATCTGGCGTGCTTTCGGATTTAGATAAAGACTTACCAAAATGCGCTGCCGTACAACTTGAGATCATCTTCTTTCGAATGGTTCTTCACTGTTGTCAAGGCATTGCCAGTGGCCTTTTTGTGGTATGTCTTTTTGGAAGGATCCCCGCCCTGGTTGGTATCGGTCATCTTATGTCGTACAGATATGGTAGTGAATCGTAACTTGAATTGAGTTTCGGGGGGATAGGTAGATTGGTGAGAGAAGATTGGACAAGACAAAAGACGACTAGTATAAAGTGATGGTGCTTGACGGGTGATAGTACGAATAGGGTTGAAAACAAGAGGCATTAATGTTGTGCTGAAGCACTAAAGAACTGTTTGGTGAAGAAAATGGGGCAAAAGGGCAAGTAGGGCAAAACCCACGCATACGGAATGCTGGGGCGGAGGGTTTTTTAGGCAAGCATCAATATGACGTATGCGCTCAATTCGCTGGCATGACGGGCCTTCGTTACACGCTATCGTGAACAGGCATTTCAACAGAGCGAGAAAGCAACATGTAACACACAATGGAAATGAGGAGCTTACATGTGATTTCTTTTTATCTTCTTTGTCCGCTTTCATCTGCCATCTGATAACACTATTTTTCTTCACTCGATCACTTTCTTCAAGGGTATGTTTGTGTGGCCCAGCAACGCCATCACCTTTGCCATTCCCACCGTTCCCGTTCACCCTTTGAAAGGTGTAGAACTTTTGGGGCGGGAAACTGGGTGGCGGCATATACTGTTGTAGGTTCACCTCTGGTTGACCGCTCATATTTGGAGGCATGTCCCAACCTCCAGCTGGCTGTTGTGGCAGCAAGGGACCTTGTCCGTAGAACTGAGGATTTGGGTTCTGATTTTGATCTACCGCCTGACCCGGGTTCACTGGTGGCTGTGTTGGTATCGAACTTGGTCCGTCATCCTCGGTACCTGGAGGCCGGCATCCAAGCTGTTCTTCATATTCCTGACGATCAAAAAACTCGGTTATTTTGATCTTCACGTCGCATAAATCTCGCTCTCGCGCTACTCTCTTCCGCTTCTTCTTGTCTGGGTCTGTAGACTTCTTAGTCCCTGGCGGACGCCCCTTTAGCCGGCAGTCCCAGTAATGGGATACAAAGCGCTTGCGTTTGTGCTTTTGCGTTGAGCGATGCGAGTAGATGTTGTCGATGTGTGGGAAATAAGTTTGGAATCTTGATTTGGATTAGGGCGCAATTATGCAAATAAGCATGGGAATTCTTACTGCTCCTCGGTCAACGTGATCATGTCATCCACGTGAAAAAGCTTATTCCTCCATTCTTCTAGATTTGGCGGGTTCGGAATGAGTTTGAGGCCTTGAAATTGACCATGGCTCGAGAATGGGGCGTCATCACTGTCATACTATCAGCAACTGTCTAACAGAACAGCAGCATTCACGTCTAGACGAGTTGAAAGAGTTTGTGCAGCTTTCGTGCAGCGTATTGACTGCTCGTGTGCGTACAGAAACCTTCAATGCGATCTTGACTGTCACATGCGATGTCAACATACCCGTCGCGCCCTTCCTGACGATGCGGCTGCGGCTGCGGCTGCGGCTGAGGTTGTGGTTGCGACTGCTGTTGGAGAGGCGCCTGTTCTACGTGCTGTGGCAAGGGATGGGTTGTTTGGAGTGTGGTTGGAACAGACGGCGAGAAAGGGAGCTGCTGAATTGGCTTTTGCGCTGTCTCGGGTGCAGCGATATGGTAGTGTTGTTGGGCATGTTCCTGCAGCGGGGGAGGGGGCGCATCTATGAAACGCGGGCTGGCAACATGTTGCTGGTAGCTCGCAGCTGGGAATGATGGATAGGGTCCAGAGGGCGGCAGGCCACGCTGCTCAAAGTGGACGGGCAAGGCATGCGACGGAGGCTGTGGTTGGGGTGGGCCGGTCAGGGCGTATGGTTGCTGGTATACTATGTCGGTGGTGTGTAGGGTCTGAAGCTCGGGCAGCCCCTGGTGATGGTGGGGGTACAGCGTGCCATCGGTCGACTGGTGGAGCGTCTGAAGGGATTCAGGGTGCAATCGAAGCTGCTGCTGGAGGACGGGCGAAGAGGCTTGTTGCATGATGGCGCCGTTGTTGGACGCTGCTTTAGCCCAAGCCGTTTCCGTGAGAGAGGCTGCTCTCCCGATGGTCCCCGATAGCCGGCTTGCCGCCTGGTACTGCTGAGTACGTGTGTGTGTGTATGTAAGTATATATGTAAATATTCTAGCTCGAGACACGCGTTTCACATGCAGAGTCCCTAGTCTAAGGTGCGACACTATCTTGTTTACTTCTTTGTCTGATTCAGCTCTGTATGTGGCAATTGTCCAGCTGCACGCCTAGAACAGCATTCAGCCACTTGACTGGGCAGCGCTTGAGCTTCAACGCTTTGGCAGTACCGCCAACTTTGGGTCATCTCGACACTCAAGCACACGCTACAAACGTCTCTTCGCATATCCGCCCTTTTCCTCTCGCCTAAAAGATCAAACCCAGTCCCGTCAAAGGAACCGCTAACCCGCAACGCCATGCCCATGCCGTGACGAAGAGAAGCATAATCATAAACACAACCAAACCCACCCCCATTTACTCTCCAGGCAGCAAATTGCTCTTGACAGCAAACATCTTGGATGTGACACCCGCCGTGAAGCCATCCACTTGTCTTGAGTACTGCTCCACCTGTCTCGAGTTGAGGAGCGTCTCCAGTCTGCTTGGCTCTTGGGGCAGCTTGAATAGTCTCTGCCACTCGTCTTCAGGGAGAAGTGACTGCTTGGAGGCAGTGCGCGCAGCATTCTCTGCTTTGCGCTTTTGTTGCCAGGCGGTAATCTTAGCCTGCTCGCGAGCGAGAGATCGCTGGTAGTATTGGTAGTTGTTGATCTCAGTGTGGTGGTTCTCGATGCTCTCGAGAAGTAGATCGCACGTCTTCTCCAGGAATGGATCGATTGAGAGATCAAGCGAGTCGTAGTTGGGAAACAGAGGTGGCTGAGGGATGTTGGGGTCTTGCTGCAGAGCAGCTAGGTTGGGTGGGAACTTGAGCTCCTCCTTTGGTGCGCTCGCCGGCAGTTGGTGGAGAAGAGAGGTGAGGAGGTGCGAGTTGTGAATGGTTACTGGAAGCTCGACTAGGATGTCGTGGTAGCGAAGACCACTCTTTTGTAGACTGCGCTTATTAGCATCACTCTCAGGCTTCGCGAATGTGCCTACATACCTCTCAGTTGTGAACTTGCCCTCCTTGTATGCCGTCACGAACGAGGGCGACAGCCTATATGCGCGCAGGTTCAGGGTACCTTGCGAGCTCCTGCTCACGTCGTAGACCAAGGCGACAGTCCTCTCGTTTGGCTGGCTCTGGTAGAAGTATTGGTTCTCGATTGTGTTTAGGTTGACAAAGTTGCCCATGCTTGTGCTGGTATACCAGCCCACGTTGTTCGCATCCACATTGACTTCACGAAGGAATTTGATCATCTCGTTACTGTAGGCAATGTTCTGCTTAGCTCGAGGGGCGGCTGCGGCGAGGTTTGCGGCGGTCTCGTTCTGTCCGTCGGCCTGTGCGGGAGAGACGTCGGGGAAGGGGAAAGAGTTTGTGATCTCCAAGACATTGTTCTTCTCCATACCGACTATGCTGCCAGTCGCGATCGAAGGGAACGACTTGCCGCTAGCAGTGGCAATCTTAATCGCAACCTGAAGGCCAAACGTCAGCCTCTCATTGCGGCAGCACACTTGGAGAAAAGCATCTTGATGGCACAATAGCGGGGCGCACAGTGGGGTGCTGTCTCTACGCTTTTCCAACGTACCAAAGCATCGATCTGTACTGTCTTGAACAGCACATCCTTCTGAGTGTCCGCCATCGTGAAGTCGGAGGTATACGTCGTGGGAGGATTCGGCGAGAATGCTAACGTTGGGCGTCCGTCGTGTCAGGAAGCAGAATTCGGACTCAGTGACTCTGCCAAGATTCACGCTGCAACCTAAGCGAACACATAGCGCTAGCTCTAAAATGGTCAAGCCCGCCCTTCCTCATCCTCTCCAGATATCCATGAAAGGGGACTGAGCATGCCTTAAGGCTTTGCTCAATATTTTCTACGGAATCACGTGCGACATGTTCAAGAATGTGTAAAGAGAGCTGATAATAGTTCAAGGTTTAAGACAACAGCGCCCCCCGTAGATGCAATGGTATCCAACTGATGATTATGAATGCAATGATTCCTCCCTTTTGTTCGTTTTACCCCAGTGTTCTCCAGCAGGATGGAAAGCCTGAATTTAAATCATGTCCTGGTCCGAGCCGCCTTTGCCGCCTTCTACATCTTCCGGAACTTCTAATCCTGTAGGTACCTTCTCTTCCTCGTCTTTAATCTCAACTACCTCCTTGGAAACGCAAGGTGCGTTTACTTCAACAACATTCTTCCGTTTTTGATTACTGTACGGATTCCATCGTGGTACCACGGGCTGACGCTCTGGTTTGCGATTGTTAGCTTTCGGATTCCTTGCGATGGAGCCATCATCCATGCGCATCCATTCTGTATCTTCATTATCGATGTGATCTGAAATATCTGCATCATTCTCATCTTCCCAAATCATGAGATTGGTGCCGTTAATCTCTATTGATCTGCCACCGGTGCGAGGAACGAAGAAAACATCATCGCCAGTCTTGCTGAAGTCTTGTTCCCAAGTCTCCTTTTGTTGGAGCTTGAGAATGTACTCCATTGGTAAAGCGTACAAGACATTGTCGTCCTTATCATAGAGCTCTTTGAGTGGATAGTCAAGGCAAGCCAGTCCGAATTTACAATCGATCCGACTGGATAAAGGATGTATGCGACCGCCAAAAGTTTTCAGTTCAAAGGAGATTCCACTTTCTGTCCACATGTTGTCGCCGAAGAAAACTTCTGGCTCAGAAAGCAGAGGGTGGTCGTGATGCGGTCCAGAAACCTCGCAAAAATGAGCTACTTCATGTGCCAGACATGTAGCCAAAAACATATTGTATCGTAATACCATGGCCGGCTCGCGATATCGTAGCAGACTGAGCTTTTTTGCGGTAGTGTAAAAGTCTGAATGCAAGCAGATCCGGCTGGTATGACACTTGTGGTTGATCTTTCGCATCAAACCATTCTTATAGTCTTTTACCAACCCCATTGACGCGTATGCAGTCTCTGGCGGTAGAGGGTCGTGATGGAAGTAGAAGTGCAACGTGTCGATTTGGTTGTCCAGGAAGCTTCTGAATGTTGTTTCGCGCTCTTCAGACCATGTTACATTTTCCTTGATACGAAAGCATGGCTGGCCATACATTGCTGAAGTTTCTTGGCAGCGCTCCCGCTTCCCAAGAACGAGCGTATGCCAAAAGTGAGCTGTTGCCCGAGAGGTTACCAGCAACGTGGCAAGCTGTAAAGCTGGTTTCATCACCTCATAAATCCCATCTGGACAGCCATGCCAGTTCTCCAAACGAAAGATTGAGTGGATGTCGTTGTCAAGCGTGCACACCGGTGCAGGTCCGTTCTCCCCAAAAGCCACGGCTTGCTTCTTGATCAGATCAACTGGATCAAACCCAAGCTTCACCGCTTTCTTCTTCGAGTTTTCCTTACGATGGCCTAGAAGCCTCCGGTACTTCTCTAACGCTTTCCGATCGGCTATCTGAGCAAGATGGTGGTTGATTGAAATACTTAGCTGTAGGCCAAAGTCCTTGGGTACCTCGATTGTCGAAGGAGTAAAAGATACCGATTTTTGGTAACTCAAGACATCGGGTAGATCATTGACTAGCTTGTCAATACATTCGTCCATGACCTTGCCCTCTTTCATTTTGTGAAGGAGCACCGCGTTTTCGCCCGTGTCTTCAGCTTGGAGATCGCCGTCACCGCCGCCAGGGAGAAGGTGTCGCAGTTTCTTCGACAGAGCTGGTGGCGGTCCACATTCCGGAGGTGGAGTGACTGACTCTGTGGGTGTCCAATCCATGCTATCCGGGTCTGGTCCCAGAAAAGCAGCTTTCGGTACATCATTTTGAGCTGTCGCTTCTTCCTCAGGATCAAATTCTTGTCTCAATCGATCCTCAATGAGCTGGGTTGTATGCAGCATTGCTTCATAAGCTTTACGGTACCTAAAAGGATCCATTCTGGCTGGCGTTAGTATCCCAGAAGGTTATGGTCGGATGAAGATCGAGCCAAGAACTGCGCAGATTCGAAGCTCAACCGACTTGTATGCAAAAGATGTGAATATAAATGGCTGTGTATAACGTTGGTTCGCTGAGTTTCAATGTCCTCATGAAGCTGGGTTGTTTGCTTGCGACAGCGCGTTTCGCGGCTGCTCCTGCGGGGAAGCAAAGACTTGCGCAGGCCGTGTATATTGTTTTCCACTTTGTCCTCGACTAGGCCAGCAAGGAGAAGTGAGACATCCAACTCCAGCCATCTCACCGAGTTTTGGTTTCGCAGCGACAGATTATATTGGTTGCTATGAGAAAGGGGGTTTGCGGGTGGAGGGCATGTCTTACTCAAGTAGACGAAACGATCAACATTCAAAACCAAGAAGCCAAGGCTGCAGAAATGCCAGCAGCGTGGTGGAGATAAAGAGTGGACAAGGGTCGGTGTGAGTTGTTTAGCGTAGGCAGTAGTAAATGCCAAGACCGGCTTTCTCGCTCGCCTGAAGGCGCGCGTCCCTTGTTGACCCATCAAACATTACATCAGCATCGCCGCCAACTGTCCTGAGAGGCAAGAATTTGCTAGTGCAGCATACTCGCCTGTGTTTCCTTGAAACCTCATAGGCGTATCTTTGCCAGGACTTGAGTATAATTCAAAGCCAACTGTCTGGCTGCCTACTTTGCATTCCAGTGTACGTACTCAGTAGGTGTTTGGGATCTCCAAAGCTTCTATCGATAGGCTAAACCCAATCTGTCACATTCTTAGTGGGGCGCTAATGAGCAAACAAACTTGGACTTGTTCACTTACACGCAGAGTTGCAACTGTCATCTTGTGGCCTAGCTCTATCTAAACTAGCATTAGGGTGCACTTTTCGGAGTTACAGAATAGCGAGAGTATCTGCGCCAGAGCTTATCCGCTGTGGAACACATGTAGATGCGCAACATTCGGCATCAACTGATATTACGTCGGTCGCAGCCGGACAAGACCAACAACGCGGCAGATTCACCGTTATCTATATCCTCACTAACTCTTTATTCAGTCATGTAAAAGTTTCCATATCTTAGGTATATGATACCTTGGCTGCATAACAACAAATCCTCTTAAGATATCCTTGGAGATCTTGTTTACATTAGTACCAAAATATATTTTCTTCCAAAGCTGAGGAGGGCTCCTTTAGATATATAATACTGAGAATATATCTATCGAGAATAATCTGCAATAATAATCGAGTAAACACACCATTGTGGATATGATGCTATCTCTTTTTATCCAAGTCCTCAAATCGCCAGCAGAACATAGTAGATAACTAAACAGGGTGTTGGCTTGGCAAGGGACCAAGCATCCCGTAGTTATCGAAACACTTAACGCTAAATAAGCCTAAAGTAGGAAATTTAAGCATACAGATACTTTCGAGCAGCACTTTCTGGTTCAGGTTTCATGTTCCTTCTGGCGTGCACTTGAACACCGAAAACACAAACTAACTTCTTTGGGCCTTAGCGTAACCCCCACAAATCGGTATCTGCAATCGCCGATCTCCAACTTTTTTCGAGCTCAGCAGTTTTGCGACAACGCGATCGCAAACCACATTACGCAACCTATACCTTTTTTCATTCTCCAATTATGGCGCCTGTACCGAGCGAGGATGTATCTCTATTTCACACTGAGCGTATCTCGCAATACGTCTCTATCCCGCCTTCATGCCTTTCGGATCCCTTCTCAGCAGTATGTGCGACTGTATTATCACCATTGCTCCTCACCTACTTCCCGCCCGCAAATGGTGTAGTGCTCGCGTATGAGGATGTTGAACTGAGCAGCACGCCTCCCAGCGCATCTGCTACTAAGTCGCATTCGAAACGTGCGCAAAACGACTCGGAACGCAACAATGATTCTCACGCAGAGCCTTTGCTTTTAAAACACGTCGATGAATACGCTGCACCCTTCCTCTGGGCAACTGCCTCGTTCCTCGTATGGCGTCCGGTTCAGAATGCATACCTACAAGCCCACATCACCGACCATGCGAAAACGCATATCACACTCGCACATCTCAACACTTTCCCCGTCAGCATCCTCAAGGAAAACATGCCTGCAGACTGGTCATGGCACCAGAACGAGTCAGGCAAAGTGAAGAAAGGCTGGGACGACAAATTGTCAGATGAAGGCGGTTGGTGGGCGAACGGCAAGGGGAAGAAGGTGGAGGGTGAACTGCGGGTCAGGATACGCAACATTGATGGCAGAATGGATGGTAAAGGAAAGGGGAAGGGTTTCTTGCGTGTTGATGGTTCTCTGCTTTCTCAAGAGGAAGAGAAGGCGGCAAAGGCAGCACAGAAGGCAGGAAGCGGGGGCAAGAAGACTACAACAGATGCAGCAAGGACACAGCAGCAGAGAGATCAGACAAATGGAGATGTTATGGAGGTCGATTCGGAGTCTGATTGAGGCGCCCTGAGTAGTACCAGGCGGCGCATTGGCGCGGTTGCATGGCTTGTGGGCTACGAGACCACAATTGCATTAGGACGGAGTTATGGCGTTGAAAACAGCAAGATGCATCTCTCAGCATCTATGATACCACCAAATACAAATATTCTAGAACTGGAATGCCTTTTTTCTCGATATTCATGTGCACAGACCAATCAGACAACACATACCTCCGAGGCTCCGCAAACCGCGGCTTCAGCCTTGACCTCGACATCCCACCTTGACCACCAGACCACTCTCTTACCAACCATTGCCATGTCGTCCTCCAAGAAATCGTCATCCTCATCCTCGCGCAAGTCGCGATCGCAGCCCGAAGCGGTTTACGGTCCACCGTACTCCTCATATGGAACGACCTATAGCTCCACGTCGCCATTCTGGACAATTGGCACGCTATTCGGCGCTTCGAGTGTCGCGCTTGGTGCTTTTGGGGCTCATGCGTTGAAGCAGCGCATCTCTGATCCAGCCAAGATTGCCAGTTGGGGCAATGCCGCTCACTATCAGGTATGCATTTTACTATCTTTGCTGTCACGACCTCTACAGTCTCTTCTGCTTCGCCACTTTAGTCCTTGTTGAGCCTCAAAACCCCGCTAATGCACAACGCAAACAGCTCATGCACTCAGTCGTTCTGACCCTTACCGCTGCCGTTGCGCCAGCGAACAAACTCGCCATGAGTCTCTTTACGGCGGGCATGGCCATGTTTTCTGGTAGCATATATCTGCTCGTCTGGGATGCGAAGAAATACAAGTCAGTAGGCCCCGTTACACCAATTGGTGGGCTGTGCCTCATTGGAGGTTGGATTACGCTGGCAGCAAGGAGCAAATTGGTTCTATCTAGGGCCAGGTAGAACATGGCTACCGGAAAGAGTCTAGAGTACGACTATGATAGGCTTTGGCACAATGTGTCAAGAAGCGCTGGCAGCTGTAGACACAAACATTGCTTCGCTCAGATTTACAATGAAGAACATGAACAGGACTATACAGATAAGATGGAATTTAATATTCTCTTCATGATTCTAATTGACAACATGTCACTACCCTCTAGGAATTGGCAGCTTCATATCAAGGGAATCCTTGTACCGGCACGGTGCTCGACCACGTTCCACTTGACAGCATGTGTTGCTTGTCCGGCATTGTGTTAGGGTCCAAAATATCCTTACCGTGTGCTAATGTCATCTAGGCCTTTGTTAAGCGTACGGCAGGCCAATCACGGGATATGTCATTACTTATTTGTATCCCTACGCGCGATGACTTGGTTTAGCGCAATGCTCATTGCCGGACTGACTCGCTCAAGCCCGCTTGCCATTCGTTGCGAGCAACCTCCTTTGCGCCAAGCCATATCAACTCTTCGGCCGTAGTGTCTATTTTGAGCCCCGTAATTCCGTGTAGCTTCCCAATCTCGGGCAATGTCCGCCAGAATAAGGCGTGCAGCAGACAAAGTGACTTCACCCCACTTGAACACGCAGGTTTTATCGCAGAGCCACTTCAAACCCTGCACGAATTGCTAGTCGCGCTAATTCAGTGTACCAAGGACACTACGTCCGTAAAATGTGTTTCAAAGACAAAAGGACAACGATCTGCTCGTTGCATCCTGCATCATGGACTCGTCGGATGGTCAAGCCCCGCCAGGAATGCTGTACCTTTCAGCATTCTATGGCTCAGTACTCTTGGGACTATGGCTCCTGTTGAAAACCCTACAGGCTTTGTATAACATTTCGCCATTGCATCCGCTGAGCCACATTCCGGGTCCGAGACTGGCTGCAGCAACGTACCTTCCGGAATTTTACTATGATGTTATCAAGTTTGGCTGCTACACCAAAGAGATTGCTCGAATGCACAAGGTATATGGTAAGGATGCAATTAACCGCTGCCTCCGAGGGTAAAGGCTGATTGTAGGTTTGTGTACCAGGCCCCCTCGTGCGCATCAACCCGAACGAAATTCACTGCGACGATGTCAGCTTCGCCGATGAGATTTATGCCGTAGGTGGACGAAAGCGTGACAAGCCAGTCCATCAAATCAACGGCTCTGCGTAAGCTGCTACTAAACCCATGGAAAATGACTAGCCCAGCTTACAATCTTTCAGTATCGGCGAAGCAGGATTCGGTACTATTGACCATGACCTGCACCGGCTTCGCCGCATCCCAGTGGCCAAGTTCTTCTCACGGTCGATGATTGCACGCCTCGAGCCTGAGCTTCATGCATTGGTACAGAAGCTGTGCAATAAACTTCTTGCAAAATCGGGAGACAACGAAGTACTCGATATTACCATGGCGTACAGTTGTTTCACTACAGACGCTATCTCGTCCTACAGCTTTGGCGAAGGTTTTGGTCTCCTCAATCAGAAGGGATGGTATCCAAACTTCCGCGCGCCAACTGCATCTGTCCTTCGACCAGTATTCGTCTTCCGCTTCTTCCCGTGGACCAAAAAGAGTGCCGTGCTTGCGACAACCTTCATTGACTACCTTCCTAGTGATATTGCTCTCATGGTCAAAACGCTACAGATTGATATGCCTTGGAAGGTCCGCAAGGCACAAGAAGACCTGGACGCTGGCATCACTTATGAACGACCAACTGTCTTCGCCTCACTCTTGCAATCAAACACACATGAGGAGAAGAATCGGTTCCGCTGGATCGCTGACGAGGCAGAAGCCATTGTTGGTGCTGGAACAGAGACTACAAGTTGGGCTCTAGGTGTAATAACCTATCATCTTTTGAGCAAGCCAGAAATCCTAGTGAAATTGACAGAAGAACTAAAAACTGTGGTCAAAGACCCAACGAATTTGCCCTCGTGGACTGTTCTTGAGACGCTGCCATATCTAGGCGCGGTTATCCAGGAGGGACTCCGACTTTCGTACGGTGTATCTAGCCGCACTGCTCGCGTACCAACGGAGGAAAATCTACTTTACCGTGGCGAATGGAACAAGAAGAAGGTTCAATACGTTCTTCCCAAAGGGTATGCCATCGGCATGTCGTCATTCATCACGCACCACAACGAACGCATCTTCCCGAACTCCTTCGAATTTTCCCCCGAGCGCTGGCTAGACGAGAAGAACCAGCGAAGGAAAGAGGTCGAGCGCAGCATGCTATCTTTCTCCAGAGGTAGCCGTGCCTGCGTGGGCATGAAGTAAGTATACTACTATTTTCTCTAATAAACTTTGGAATATTGTTGCTAACATAATGTCTAGCCTTGCTCTGTGCGAACTTCACCTGAGTCTGACGGCGTTGGTTCTACGTGTTCTACCGCATATGCGCCTGTGGGATACGACTGAGGAAGATGTTCTTTACGACCATGATATGTTTATTCCTATGACCAAGCATAATAGGGGTATTCGGGTCAAGATTGACTAGTTACTTAGGTAAGTATATTTAGCTGGCAATAGACATGGCTGCAGTGGAGATGGTATAGCCATATCTCGAGTCGCTCCCTATATTTGCATCCAAATGAATCACCATAACGAGTTGTTCGTTTTCCAACATTTCTTTGATTCGCATTGTGTTCTCATGTGGTGGCAATAAATGGCTATTCTAGCCTTGACCGGACGGCTCAGGCCCGACACCTTCCAAAGGTCCTACGTAAGTACCATATTATACGAAATCCGTGATAGCATGTGGCCAATGGAGAAGAAGGCGTGATTGGGATTGAAGATGTTCTTTGAGTACACGGAAAGTGCGTTGAGTCTGCTTCTCATGTACCTTTGCTGTTTCCACAAAATGTGACGATACAGACATGTACGTCTAAGTCCATGGCTATCGCTGGGCAATATAGATGGTGAGGCTTTCTTTCTTTCTACAAAGCTGCGGCTCTCGTGTCAAAGATAGTCGCCTAGGTATATTTATTGCAAATTTAGGGAGCAAGGTTGATAGATAAATGCGCAGGACGTAGAGGGACGCTACGAATGGAACTTAGTGAACTTGGACTCGGTGCGCGACATTAGTGTATATTGTTTATTTCACATAACATGGGTTGAATCCCGAGAGTTTGGGTTGGTGTGGCTATGCTAAAGAAGTTAACGTTAGGAAGTTGAACATGTGGGTGCAAAAATGAGACTTAGGTTTACATTGCGTTGGCATAACATACACTATATGTCGCTTAGAGGTAGATTATACATATGTCTGTCTTGGTTGAGGCGTCGGTGAGATGATACTTGCCGGGACTGATTGACTGGTGCACATGTTCCTCTGAATGTATTATTGCAGTAGTTTTCGTCGTATTCGCGCGGTATCTCACACTCGAACTTCATAACCTTATTTCCTGAATGCAGAGACGAGATACAAAGTAACCGAATGTTTTCTGGCCCTCGTCCAAATGCATTTTGACACGACTCTTCTGCATTCCTCTTCATCAACCAGTGACCCAGTTTCCGGGACGCATGCAGAAACACGACGTACCAATAAAGGCGTATGCTCATTCACTTTGCTTGTTTAACTATAAGCCACAATGATTATCTGCTTTCGACACTTTCCCGAAAACTTCCTCTTGTAGTATGCGCAGATACCGCATTCTGGCGCCGTGACGTTCCTCGTACCGATGATATGGGTCACCAAAAGTAACGTGAGTGCACTGGCACACAAACAAAATGCAGTTCCCATTGAACCCACGTATAACAGGCCTATAAAAGAGAGCCTTGGCTATCTTCGACAATTAACCTTTGGGTCGGGTCGGACAAGCAATGTTAGATGTGCATCGTGGCATCTTGATAGATAAGTTTAAATGCATCAGTTTCTCCAAGTTACAGCCGACCATGACTCGGTATGGTTGTACTAGTCCATGGTTTATTCTCCTTTCCGCTGTCTACTATCGACGGATCTGCTGGATTTCCTGTTCTGGTATTTGAAACATGTTTATGAGGAAGGGTGGGGGGTCCTCAATATGCGGAGTTTGAACCGCAACTTGGATATGGACAGGTCAGGTTTGGATGCAGAGCTAGCCTCAAGCCACAGTATAAAAGGGGATATTACTTTTCCCTTTTTAGGTTTGCAAATGGATTTATAAGTTGTTGCCCGTATCCATGTCTGTGAATGTCTGTGGCTGCTGGTGGGCTGGTGGAACGTGGCTGGGTTCTCCGCGGCCGTCTTGTACCAAAGCGCTTTCTTGCCCTCTCACAGACACATCATGTTTTCTTTTGCCATCTCGGGCCTCGTAGTGCTCTCGCTACCACTCGGCCGAGGCTTCAATGCAACCTTTGCGGTTTTAGGTCCCATCCTCTCGCGTATCCAGCTGTCTGGTTGGCAGACGGCTGCCGGGTAGCGGGATGCGCAGATATCGACGCTTTTGCTGTTTCTGTTCCTCTTCTGGCAGTAGCAGGCATGAAGGCGCTTGCCAATAAAGACTCGAGACACGAAAGCGGAATGGTGTACCAAGGCTAGGAATCTGACAGCCGTTTGCCGTGATCGATGGTTTATAGCCATAGACTTCCTTTCTGGGTATGTTGGCTGATTATCGGCTGTTGTTGCAACTGAGGTGTGTCAGACAAGTCACGTCCAGAACGGCGGCACAATCACATGGTAATTTGAATGAAGGCCATGTAATACCGGTGAGAACTGGAGAGAAACACGTCATGGAGGACCAAGTCGTATCTTACATACACATGCATACGTACACACATGCATGAGTGAAGGGGATACGGGAGAAGTGTAGAAGACGTCACATCGGGGCGAACACTAGAGTTCCCCAAGTGCACAGCCACCGACTATCCAGGCGCATCGAGCGTGGCGCAAACACCAGCGCATCGACTATCTCATTGCCCAGGCACATCTGATCTGATGTAGACAGAACCACGTTTGGGCCATGGCGAACCGGAAATGCGCGTCTCACATAGTGACCCACTTGCGGGCTGGTCGGCCTTGTCTTGCCGCGGGCTCCAACCTAGTGCAACAATGACGTACTTGGTCGCGGATGCTGGCGCAGATCCCGTCAGGCACATTACATCTTCACAGCCCACGTCAACCCTTCTTCTTCCCTATAACAACTGAAATATTTCACAATTCCTCTCCAGATCCTTACAGTAACCCAGCACAAAACTACCAAGCTTAATTGTTTTCATAAAACCTCAGTCATCATGGATGTACGTACCGCTATAAGCTACAGCATGTGCTGAACGAAGACTCGACCAAACGAGCAAAAGCTGACGAGGATGAGCAGGTCTACTACTTCTACTCTTACGGCACGGCCGCATGGCTTAGTATGTTCTTACTCACGTCTTCTGGGGCGACGAAAAGTTTGCTAATGCGAAAAACAGTGACGCAATCCGTGCCTCTCATCACCTCCCCCACAATGATCGTAGCATTACTGTCACCAGAGGTTCGCGAAGCGACGAGTATGTGATCTCTCGGTTTGTTTGTATTTCAGGAAGAATGCATTCACTAACAACACGAAATAGCTCTGGAAGTCTACTTCAGCCGCTCGCTAGGCATCACGCTGATAACGCTGGGAATTCTCACTGTGCTACTCACAGGCTCTGTTCCGTTATCTAGTCGTCTTTCAGAAGGTACGTCATCCTCCAGCCATCATTTGTGATTACTGGATGAGCCTCATCTGACTTGCTACAGGAGCAACAACCCAAGCGGAAGATCCAAAAGCACCATACGCGCTGCCAACCCTCACCATAACCGCCATGTTCCACGCTGCTTATGCATTCTATGGATACGCCATGTGGACCAAGACTGGAGTTATGTCGTTTAGTTTGGGTACACTTGGTTCTGGTTTCTTGGCCACGATCGCGCTATGGTGCATCTTGTTCGCCAGTAGCAACGGCAGGATCAGCAGGAAGACTGGTGCGGATAAGAGGACGAGTGGATTCCCATTCAAGAATGCCGAGGCAGACAAGAGGAAGGCTAGGTAAATGCTTAGCGCTAAAGGGTCTATGCAAAGTCTCTGGAGCGGATAGCGGGCGCGAATGACGCACTTGCAATGCCTGCGTAACTATGAACATGGAATAGGTGCCTCGTCAGCATGGAGCTGGAAATACACATGCAGAAAATGGCACTTCACACACTGGAAAGCCGCATTTAGAAAGAAGCGACATTATATATTAGTTTGAAAGCATGGAATTGATTGGTATCTTTTGAATCTAACACATCACCCCGACCGTATGCACCCTGTGCCCGTCCCATAATGTTACACTGGACTTGTCTAAAAACAAGAAAACCAAAGAAAGAAGAAAAATAAAGAGACATTAGAGAACCTGTTCGTCTGTTTATATTTGGTCGCTAATAAGCCCGCAAAGTGCAGGCAGGACATGCTCCATCAGGTCAATTAAAACCAAAGAGTCGTCAAACACACTAAGCTGCAGGAACCGGTGGCTGGAGACTCTCTTGTTGCCCAACATCCGCTGGCTTAGGCGGTTGCTGTTGCTCCTCCTTCTTGACTTCAGGCCGATGAGTCTGAGCACCCTCCTGGCGCCACCAGGGAAGTTTTCCCTCTTTGGGAGCGATAGGCAGAGCCTTTGAGGGAGCAACATCCTTTTCGACCGCCTGCCAACCCTCCATGTCTTCTGGCATGCCTTCTTCAACCCGTCTCCGCCGCTCCGCCGCTGCCTGTGCCTCCATGAAGTTCTCGAGCAAAAGCTCCTTGGCTTGCCATTCCTCGCGGCGCACCCGCTCCAGCTCTTCGGCTTCGGCACGCAGCTGCTCTCCCTCCTTTGTTGCCCATTGCAGTTGTCTGCGTAGTAGCTGGAATAGCTCGTTTGCTGGCTTGCGTAGCTCTTCGGGCGTGAATTCGATGTCTGGTGGGAACTGCACTAGTGTTGGAGCAGATGGGCTGGCGAGGTCTTGTAGGTAGATGACATTGTTGTGGGAATAGTCGGTTTCGGATGTGGTTGCAGCAGCGGCCGCGGCTGTTGCGCTATTAGGTGGATGCGATGGGGATCCGGGGGTCGAGGCCTTGTCGTGTGGCAGCTTCTTGCCTTCGTTGTTGAGGACGAGCTTCAGGCGCTGCTTGTTGTTGGTGGGGTTAGACGAATGATGCTTGGGTACGGGGTCGGAGGGTCGTAGGGCTTCGGTCTCGTGCACAGTGCGCATGTGTTTGGCCAGCGCGTCGGAGCGGGTGAAGGAGCGATCGCATTCTGACAGTGTATTTTAGTATATGTCTCTAGCGTCGGGGCAGAATACGGAGGGTTGTACCTGGAAGTGTGCAGTAGAATGGCTTCTCGCGCGTGTGAGAGCGCATGTGTGCCCGCAGTGCGTAGCCACTAGCATGGGGGATGCCCTTTCGAGTGCAATCGCTCCACTCGCAGCTGTACTTCTTCTGCCGAGTTCCAATGTGATCGTCGTGGAGATGCTCGACCAGCTTATCCATGTTGTGGAGATCACCGGCTGTGCATCCGTCCCACTTGCAGACGGTGACTTGCTCCTGGCCGTAGTCGTCGTCTTGCGACATGCCCGGGTGGTGATGGGGCGAGGCTGGCACCGAGCCATCAGTGTCTTCGGACAGCTCTTCGTCTAAATCTGCCGGCATCGTGTTGATGGGAGCTGGCGGCGACGAGGGCGCGCGGACGTTCAGGCGTGGTCGCTTGTTGGGGCGCTGGTCATGGTCAGGCGTGGCTTCATAGCTGCGTGGACGGCTTCCTTTTACATCCTCAGGGAAATCATCGCTCCCATATTCTGATAGATCTGAAGGTGATTCTGTCATGACGGTGAGGTCAACTTGTTGGCGGTAACGGTCAAGGCGACGGTGAAGGTGAAAGTGAGAGTGAATGTCGACTGCGCGTTGGCCCAAGGGAGCGTGTTGCGCCTCCCGGCGCGCTCGACGTCTAGCGTATGTGCAGGGGCCAGGCGTTGAGCGAACGGCGCATTTTTCTGCGCAGCCAATCTTGCACACTTCTAACTCTCCGCCTCGCAACACCAACAACATTTCAGACAGGCTCTTGTCGCTTTGCAGAGAAGCGCCTGTTTTCGCCATTCTCTCTCGGCAAAGGGTCCTGCACTACAGTTGCGCCCCGTATCATATGTAAGTATACTTCACTCTCTTTCATCTCATCTTCCATGATGATTTATCCCAGAGTTCTGCAATTCCAAAGAGCTGCCTCTTGGTAGCTCAAATGCGGATTAGCTCATACACTACACATATACCTGACTCCATTTTCACATGAATCAAAGCTTGTTACACATTATAGTTACAGTACTGACAAGTCGTTCTAACTAGGAACCAATCATCTATGCGAACATCAATGCCGCTTGAGCCTCATTGTACCGTCCACCAATGACTGGGAACTTCTTTAAAATCTCTTCCAGTGCCTTCATGTCCTCATCGTTGAGCTTCGCCGGCTTCAAGTTTTCCTCGACTCTCTGCGATGTCGTAGCACCCGGGATCGGGATGATAGTAGGCATGCCCTTGGCTCCGCTGTGCGCGAGCACCCACCCAATAGCAATCTGAGCTGGAGTGACACCCTTTGATTTGGCTAGATCCTCGACAGCGTGGAGGAGCTTGATGTTCTCATCGAATACCTCAGGCTGGAACCTAGGCATGTGGTGCAGTAGGGAGCCAGGCTCAATATCGCTGTGCTTCTTGTACTTGCCCGTCTGGGAACTAATCAGCATCCAACTTCCACAGCTGAGAGTGATGCACTTACAAGGAATCCGCGTCCAAGAGGCGAGTATGCGATGATGGGAATGCCAAGCTCTGCGCATGTGGCTGCGACACCGTTCTCGAGAATGTCGGTAGACCATAACGAGAACTCGACCTCAACTGCAGAGATAGGGTGCACACTGTGCGCTTTTCGGATTGACTGCGCGCCAACTTCTGACAGACTGATGCCGCCCAGCTTGCCCTCCTTGACATACTCGGCGATGTAACTGATGGTATCTTGGATTGGTGTGTTGAGATCCACCCTAGCACACTCGAACAGATCCAGACTCTTCTTGCCGTCCAATAACCTCAGGCACTCATCAATGCTGCGTCTAACATTCTCCCGACTGCCATCCGGCGTCAATTCGCCCTTCTTAAGACCACCCTTGATGGACAAAACAACCTTATCCGCGTCCTCGGGGTACTTTGTGAAGTACTCATTGAGAAGGTGCAGAGAGTTACGTTCTGGTGTACCGTAAAGCTCTCCGCCATTCCAATTGTTCGCTCCAAGCGACAGCGCGGTACGCATAGCTTCAAAGCTCTGCTCTTGCGATGGTGGATCTGGGCGCCATGTGAGGCCTGAGTTGTTAGTTTTTTTCTTAACCTTTGCAAGATAGATAAATCGTAAAACGTACCCATGAGCCCATAGCCAACTGGCCCTACCATCTTTCCCACAAGTTGAGGCATATCGAAGTTTGCAGATGATGTCGTGAGAGGGTCTTGAACAAAAAATGAGGCGGGGTAATAGATACTGGTCAATGATATCACTGTAATTGAACCGTTGCTCGCTAGTGTCTCTGTAAGGGCCTGTTTATGTGCTTCTCTATTCCAGACCGATACCCAGCCCTATTTATATTCTCATTGAAGCTTTTCTCGGGCCCGAAGATACTTGCTTAGGTACCGCCACCAATGACGCTCATTGGACTTACATGGCCCGAGCGGGGTTTTCAGAGTGCTTAACTCCGTGAAGTCAATCACCGCGGAAAGTGGCACGACAACATGGGCAGTGGCTTTAGGCATATGTCTGGTGTGCTGTATGTGTAGTTATTGTATCGTGACGTTTGTGCCGGAGCGTTGGGATCACTGAACGGCATTTTGTTTTGCATAGGAAGATGTACTGTCGCCGGTAACGACTTTGAAAATCCAAATGAATGATACTCTTTAGGTGCGGAATAGAGTAGGTTATGAGCAAAGTAAGCATTCGTTAGTGCAATGATTTTACTCACGAAATCCCGTTCTATCTCTATGGTTCTATGTCAAGTTAGAAATGAAAACACCCGGCCCTCTTCGGATTTACTCTGCTCGCTCCACTTCACCCCAACACCGATCTCCATACTAGCACAAAAGGCCACTTGCTTACATACCCTTCTTCCCTTCAAAGCCCTTCCTCTCAATCGCATCTATGTCCCTCAACACAGTCCTAACCGGCCAGACAAACCCCTCCTGCGCGTGCCCTGCCTTCCCCTCTTCAATTGTGACCAGATACTCCGTGAGTGCCATACCCACATACGCCGCAATCGCTGTGAAAATATGCCACCAGCCATGCAACTCGAATAAGAAGCCCCACGGAAGTCCAATCCAATGCTTAAACTGCGTAACATACCCACAAGCATGAAAATCAATGTTCCAAAGAAAATACCCAAACAGCCCCGTAGAGATACCAAACGTAGCCATGCTCCCCAGCTTCTTGCGTGCCGCTTCATTAGTAATTTGCTTCTTGATAAGTGCACGCGTGTGACGTGAGACAAGGAATATCATGGCTGCAAAAGCAATTTCGTGCATAATAATCTCGTCGGCCCACACGTGGTAAATGGAGATGGGTATCAGGCTGCCCAGGATATACAACGTGTATTTTTGGCGCTGGGCGCGCGTGGCGTCGAAACACAGCAACTGGTGTAGTACAGCACCCACCGCAAGGAACATGGACAGGTCGTCGCCCATCTGCGAGTGGTACTTTAGGGTGGCGTGGAACCAGGCGGACAGGACGCCGACGCCGATGAGTCCCCAGTAAGGGAAAGCGAGCGTCGAGATAAGGCCGCCTTCGGGTTTAGGAGATACGCGGCGTAGACCGTGGATTCCGTAGATTACTATTTTTCCAAAGTGTAAGCTTTCCCTGTTTGTCGTGGTGGATTGCAAGTGGTTGGGATGCACAGACCATAGCTGATGTTTGTGAGGGTGTTGACGAATTCACCAATGTAGGGAGTGATGATGTAGTCCTTGTCATCATGAGTTATCATTCCCAGCTAATCATTACGGGGAAGACACGACATACCTCTTCACAGAAACTATATTAAGTTAGCCAAGCCCGAGCTGCCATGCAGGTACCATAACAAGACTCACTTGTGATTTGACGTGGTTGGACCCCAAGCTCCTACTGCGGGCTCTAACGGATAGTCCCATCGCAATTGCATGTTAAATTTTTGCTTAGTTTGAGTGTAAATGGCAGAAAGGGAGTCTTTGATGCTGTCTGGCTGTGGGGGTTTGCAGTAGTTTTACTACGTGGAGCTCATGGCGCAAGCTATGACCAGCCCAATAGCGGGATACCACGGAGCACATGGGAACAAGGCAGAAGGCGCAACAGCGCGGATACTCCCTTCTTAGCTTAAGCAAACAAGAAGATCTTGAATTCAAAGTGTGATTAACATGCACCAATTGTTAGTTTCGGGCATTTCTGGTACTATCTAGGAGTCGACGTTCAATGAAGCAAAACAAGGTATACAGTAACAATTAGCTCAGCCTAGCAAAAGAAACAGTAACGATCCTAGATGCAAAAACATTACACCTTCTGACACACAGAAAGGCAAAAAAATGGGGTCTTACCGCGACTCGAACGCGGGGCCTCTCGCAAGCAATGCTCGGGAAATCCCTAAGCGAGAATCATACCACTAGACGGTGGGGTTGTTAGAACTGAAGGAGGTGGTGAAGTGTGATGTGAATGCTTACCCATAAGACCGTTGACTTGATGGAAGGACGAAGAGGATTATCAAATATAAACTGCATAAATTAGGCTGCATGATGGAGCTTGGAGAAGGGCGAGCACTTGGATCCCCCTGTAGGACCTTGTATCAAGCTAGAAAGTGGGGCTAACACTTGAAAAAGTTTGGTGAGCGGGGCTTGTTGGCTGGAGTCACGATTTTTTGGTGGGCTAGACAGTGGGGCAGACAGAACACTGACGAGTTATCTAGCCCTACAGATCAAGGCAGTGCAATACGTAAGGTCGTAGGTATAGATAAACAATCAAAAGAAACAGAAGCAGTTTAAGCACTTCCGATGTGAAAAATAACACATATGTTGATTCAATGGCTAGCATTGGGCAGATGTTTTACTGATATGCAAAGTCTTGGACGTCATTTTGCTGTGCGGCTATCAAAGTCACCACCCGAATGAATTGATATCTGTCACCTCCTTCGGCTCTGTATGAATGACAATCATGTGTCTCAAAAGAAAGTGGAGCAAGTCGATGCAGTCTTATGCAACAGTCACACTGTAGAAATTGGCAAACCAAGAGCATATGAGACATGCAATCTCTAACTGATGTACCTCTTCTTTAGCTTTATATCACATGACCCATGTTTAGGTATAGCAGTGATATCCTTGCTTTTGGAGTTGAAGATCTGAATGAAGTCCTTGAGCCTATGGGGCTGTCGATCTCAAATAAGCAGCATGTCTCTTCTCAACATCTTGCAGTATCGGTCCACTTTCAGTCTTGGAGCAAAGGATTCTGTAGACGTCTATCGATCGTAGCATACATAGGAACAGGCTAAGATCGGCTTCGATAATCGGGAAATACAGCATGAATGCTTCTGTCAATACCGAAATCCATCCATAACAGTGCTGAAGTTCACAGTTTGGATTGCACATATTCTGGAGAAAATGAACAAGCTCATGAAATGGCCCAGCACAACATAACCTCATGCGTCACCAAACACAAAGGACAAGGAGCTTTTACTTTGTTAGGCAAAGTCGATGTGCACGAAAAATGGCTCTACGATATGCCGCGGTAATAATGTTCCCAACTGCCAAGAAACTACGCCCTGACACACTCGATGCATGCCGAGTTTTCTATGGCCTGCTATGACGATATTGCGCAGGCGGGCTTGAGCTTTGAAAGACCAGATGTGGATGCAACATTGTTCTTGAAACATTATATCAGTCTCAATACACCGCTGTCCTGTAAAAGTTCACTCATCATTAGCCGTTGCGCTTTTCGTTGCCCACAAAAACGCAAATGCGATTCAGTGAGGGCAAATATCAGGTGGTAGGGGCGGAGATTGCCAAGCAAATGGATGATCATGATTCCACTCTTGGGGTTGTGTGCATCGGATTCTCACCAGCCTCTGTAACGCATATCCCCACCCAATCACTCGACAAATGACGGATACAATAACGCATACGGCAAGACACCCACGCTTCACAGTCACATGTTGCATTGCCCCGAGGAAAGCAACATGAGGTTGCAACGTGCGATCGAATCATGTCAATTCCAAGAAATAAGACAGGCAGCCGAAATAAAGACGGCGCCACTTACGCACCCACATGCACGACGCGGTTGAGGCGATCTCCGCAAAATGCTAGGCGCCATCCCGTTCTCCACCTCCAGCCAACCCCGAGTCCCTCAAGGCAGTTTTCCCGCCAATCAACGCCAATCGGAGGGGGGCTTGCCTTGTTTCTTCGATTACTCTCCGATGCGCAAACAAACGGCCACGCTTGGTCGGCACGTTCCCGCTGTGCTTACGTAGGAAGTATGGCATTTTAACCAATTTAACCAGCTCACGAATGTTTCCAACTGGCTGGATCGGTGGAGTCTGGCGTTTTGGCAGAAATGCATTGCAAGGTTTTAGCGACAATGTCCAGCATACCGGCTTTGAGTACCGACTACGTTGGTTCTCTTTATAATTGAGCTCTCCTCCCCGCGCGAACGTGGAGTGGTAGGTCATACGACTACGTTAATTGAAGCTCTTGGGAGCTTCCACCCAGTCGTCGAGATGTTTTCGAAAGTCCCAAAGATTTACAATGTCTACTTTTTGGCAATCATTGCCACGATGGGTGGCATGCTGTTTGGTTTCGATATCTCTTCGATGAGTGCTATCATTCCAACCGACCAATATATGTACGTCAATTCCTAAAAGACGACTCTTCAGCATGGTCTAACATCCAACAGTGACTACTTCGACAACCCATCTGGAGTCGTTCAAGGCGCCATTGGTGCTGCCCTTGCTGCAGGCTCTATCGTCGGCTCTATCATGGCAGGCCCAGTCTCTGATAAATTTGGTCGCCGCGATGCTCTCTTGTTCGCTTGCCTCTGGTGGCTTGCTGGCACTGCCTTGCAAGTTGCTGTAACAGGACGAGGAATGTTGATAGCTGGTCGAGTCCTTAACGGAGTAACAGTTGGCATCACTTCCTCGCAGGTACCCGTATATCTTGCCGAAATCTCCAAGCACTCACAGCGCGGTGCAATCATTATTATCCAGCAACTCGCGATTGAGTGGGGAATTCTTATCATGTGAGTAGCAAGCGAATATATAGAAGTGTTGCTAAACTGACCGTTTTTGTAGGTACTTCATCGGCTACGGGTGCACGTTTATTCCCGGCGAAACAGCATCGTTCCGCACCGCATGGGGCATCCAATTTGTACCCTGCGTCATGTTCATGATTGGTCTGCCCTTTCTACCAGAATCTCCTCGATGGCTCGCCAAAGTCGATCGCACAGAGGAAGCAATCCAGGTCCTTGCATCTATCCAGGCCAACGGCAATATCGAAGATCCATATGTTGTCGCCGAGTACGAGGAAATCATGACTGTTCTTATTGCCGAGCGTCAAGCTCCACCGGGATGGAAGAAGTTTGTATACAATGGCATGTGGAAGCGGACTCTTGCTGGATTTTCCGTGCAAGCGTGGCAGCAGCTGTCTGGAGCAAACGTGTGTTCAACTTCCCCACACCAACCATTCACTTCAGAGACTAACTACCACAACAGGTCATGACCTACTACGTCGTTTATATCTTCGCAATGGCTGGGCTCGAAGGCAACATTAAGCTTATTTCGTCAGGCGTGCAATATGCGCTCTTCATCATCTTCTCCTCGATCATGTTCTTCTTCGTCGACAAGTTCGGCCGCCGCACACTTCTCGTCTGGGGCGCAATTACAATGGGCATCTGCCATTTCGTTGTCGGCGGCGTCCTCGGCGCAAACTACGAATACATTCCTGACGGCGTTGGAGGTGACCGCAACGTCGTCATGAAAGTCACTGGCTCGCCCGCCAACACCGTCATTGCATTTTCGTATCTTCTAATCATTATTTACGCTCTCACACTCGCACCCATCTGCTGGGTGTACGCCGCGGAAGTGTGGTCGCTTGAGACTCGCGCGTGGGGTATGGGTATTGCTGCGACTGGTAAGACAAAATGCCAACAATTCCCAGAAAGAGGAAGAAAATACTAACAAATTCTCTAGGTAACTGGCTCTTCAACTTCGCAATCGGTCTCTTTATCCCCCCGGCATTCCTGAACATAAAATGGGGTCTCTTCATCGTCTTCGGCGTCCTATGTCTTCTCGCCGCAATCCAATTCTTTTTCACATACCCAGAGGTACGTTCACACTCTCTTCATCACCGAACAAATTTAACTAACCTTTCTTCTCCAAACAGACCTGCGGCAAAACACTCGAAGAAATCGAAGTCCTCTTCAGCAAAGACGGTCCCCATGCATGGCAAACCAAAAAGGGAAGCGAACATATTGGCCAGGATATAGAGAATGTGGCCGCGGCTCAGGCCAAACAAGAGGCGCAGGCGAGAATCGAGTTGTTGGCGAAGAAGGAGAAGGGGGAGACGGCGAGAATGGAGACGGTTTGAGCGGGTATCTGTGTAGGATTTGCGTATGTGAGAAAGCGAGTACGAAGAAGAAGAGTGAAATTAATAATTGCAAAAAATGATATCCCCGAATCTAAACTACATTCTTGCCATTTACGAATTCAATGTGCCTCTACTGCCACAAGATAATAATCAAGAGATGCAAGCGAAGTAAGGAGACGAAAAAATAAGGGTTAAAAAAGAGTAAGACTAATAATTGCATGTAGTTCTACCCCCGATTATAAAGTCTACCAAAAATCCCCCAACATCAAGAAGTGAAAGAAAAAGCCAAAAGGGTCGAAAACCCCGAGTTGCTAGTTCTTCATCTAACTAGCCAGATCCATCGCCTTGACGCCCTGCTCAAGCGCAACCTCATCTGCAAGCGGAGCATCTTCAGCCGCAGACTCCCCGTTCGACAACACGACGCCTTCTTCCTCAGGATGCTCCACAGTGCCGGGGCCCTCGTTGACGTGTTTGTCTGTCAAACCTCCGTTCAGATGAAGGTGTTGTGGAACGGCGGCCTCGGCTCTTTTGACGTGCTCCGCAGGTCCAGCATGGCCATTACCCATTGCGACCGCGGCAGGTACTCCGTTACTTACAGCTGCGTGGTTGCCAGACCCCGGCTTCACCTGTTTATCTAGACCAATCCCCAACTCCCTCACAGCACGCTTCATGCTATCCAGCCTCGCGCGCTCAGCAACACACATTTTCCTCGCGAGCTCCTTGAGCGCCCTTCGTCCCGTCTCGACCCTGTTTTCTTGCCAACTAGCTAGTTCCTGAGCCACGACTTGCTGAGTATATCGCAGTTCTCTGCCGAGATCTTCGAGCTCGATTTTGCTCTTGTCCATCTTGACTTGGGCGTCGCGCTGGACTCTGCTGCGCGCATCGTCGAGGAGACCCAGGGGCCAGCGGTCGGAGCGCCGCACGGAGAGGTTGTGTCTGTCGATTGCTTTTTGAGCGTTGGACATGGAATTTATGATTGTGGATGGGCGGGAGAGTGCAGTTAGGATGGCGGCGATAGTGCTGGAGATGGCGTGCATGGAGTAGTAGAAGCCTGCCATGGGACTTGCTTCACTTTGTCTCAGGGTACCGGTGTAGCGCTCCAAGGCCTTGAGGTGTGCAGAAGGCAAAAATATGAGGGAGTGCATGGCTGTATTGAAGATCTTGGATGCGTCGTTAAGGTCAGATGCTGCTGAACGGACCTTGTTGGCGCGGCGGAGAACCGATCGTGATGCGTGGTGGAGGGCGCGAATGTTCTCACGCATGTGCTGAACAAAAAGCTCGACTTCTCGCACGTCAAGAATAGGAGTGTAATCTTCACGTAGGCGTTCAACGCGCAGTTCAGCTTTGCGTGTTGAGCGTTCCGCGAGCATGGACGAGTCGATGTCTGGCACGAGGAAAAACTCCCATACCATTTCATGTGTCGAGAAAGTAGGATGCTTTAGTAGAATCTTGAGGAAGGCATCTAGTCGGAGTTGCATGTCGCGGAGTATTGACCTTGACGGTCTTGAAGGGATGAGGTATGGTGACGCCAGGGTATCTATGGCTGGCAGCCACGATGCCGGGTGTTCTTGTGCTAGCCACTTCGCGAGATTCTCAAAGTCGTGCGATGAACGGCGACATGTTGTAACAGTGATGGACTTGTTATCGTTAGGTGCTCCAGATTTCAACACTAAACGTACGGTCCCGTCTTCAACAAAGAAAGACCGGACGACAGTAGTGGTTCGTCCATCAGGCCCAGCCTCATTCGATAACAACACCAGGTCATCAATTCGATTTCGAACGTCGTCATCTTTAGCAAGCTCCACGGCCGTAAGACCACGTGCGTCTCTGAACGACAGGTCAACCCTAGGATCTTGAAATAGAACCCGCACCATATCTGTTCTGCCATACTTGCTGGCTACCATGAGTGGCGTGAACTGTCTGTCATTTGTTGCGTTTGCATCCGAGTCGCAGCGATATAACAACTTGGCGGCTAGTTGAGGATCGGTGATAATATGCAGGAGGCTGTTTCCCTTGTTATCAACATGCTCGTCGAGATGCAGTGGTTGTCCGTCGTTCTGGTAGTAAGTCGCGGCTAGAAGGGCCTTGTCAACCATGTCATGGTATTCATCATGGTCGTATGATCTACAAAGAGCAAAAACGGGAGTCTGACCGTTCTTGTCCTTTAGCCGCCAAGGCAGTAGGTGTCCGATACGATCAATTAGACGAGGTTGGTTGAAAAGGTAATGCGCTACACATCTGCCTTTGGCGTCTGGCTTCGCTAGATAATCTCGTAATGCTTCAGGGCTCGGGCTATTCTCCAAAAGGTAATTGAGAATCGTGTCTGTCGTCTTCGCATGGCCTTGTTGGATCGCTGCGCTCAGCAGGTTGACACCTTCATTATTGTAGTCTTCGAAGACGTGAAGAGGTGTATAATACTCGGTCAAACTAAGGAGATATTGCAGTGCCCTGTCTTGCCTGTTCTCAATGGCCATCATCAAGACCGACTCGCCATCTGGACCTTGTGTCATGGTAAGCTTCTCTATCGAAACATCGCCCTCGATAGCGCTGACACGCGAATCGAGCGTGGTGCGAGAATGGTACGACCGCGCCGAGCCACTCGACATGCTCCTTGTATCCATCGAAACCTTCTTCTTCATCTTGGGTCTCCTGGGTAGCGGGGGTGTCTGAGCTCGCTGAAAGGGGAAAATATGCGCCAGTGGACCGTCTTCGTACATGCTCTCATCACGAGTTGGACTTTGATGCCGTATCCGTGGTTCGTCGTCGCCATCCATTGTAGTTCCTCCAAAGGATTGAAGATCTGAGAGGCTCGCCGCAAATCTAACTGGACGATGCCTTGGCGGAGTATCGCTCTGATCTGTGAAACTGTCTGATTCTGGGTGAAAAGATTTGTCGGGTTCCAATATGCCTTGGATTGTCTCGATATCACCTGACTTGGTTGCCTGCCATAGTGCCCGGTTCCGTCTGCTCGCTCTCCGCAAGCCTCCAGAATCTGTTGTCAAGTATGACAATACTGCTTCGAAAGTACTGAGCGCGTAGCCCATTTCGCCACTTTCGACATCGTCAATGAAGATAAAGTGCCGCATGTAGGATAACCGTGCCTGGAGATGCCTAACGGGCGCCCGAATGACTACAATGAGCAGCAGTGACACCAACGTATCTGCGTTAATTGTGAGCAGATGATCCTGCTTCTCTGATAGCGATGCTCCGTTTGTCATCATCTTCTCCTGGGATTCGTCTGGCATGGTGATGTGCTTTTGCACCGCGAGCAGAATTTCCAGCATTTCCTGCGGGCTCCCGGCAACCCCCATCTTCTTAAACATATCCACAGCCCTAGAGAGCCGTATGGCAAGTTCCCGTTTCCCTTTGCGACCGTGTCCAATGTCGATGCCGACCTGCGATATATCGATATCCATCATTTGCCGGGTTCGTCGCTCGAGATCGGCGTCTTCAAGTTGGCGTATGGTTTGTATGCGTGGGAATAGAATCGTATGGTGTATTTGCTCGGCAACGTAGCGCTCAATCATGCGCTCGACGATTGGTCCGGTGAGATCCGTTGTCGCCCCCAGCAGGGACAGTTGTTGCTTGTCCACCATCTGAAAAAGGTCAATGGCTGCAGTGACGGCCGTCTCTAGCGATCTGCGCATCTGATCCTCTTCGTCGCTGATTTCGAGATTCGAGACGAAGCCGTTGGGGGCATAGGACATGTTGCTGTGCAGAGAGATTGGTGCCGTGTCTGCCGAGGATACCGACCCACGTCTCCTTGAGCTTTTTGAACTCATTGACGATGGCCGCGATCTTTGCGATGGTATTGCTGGTAGCGGTTTCTGCAATTCGTTGCTAAACTCTTTGAATATTCTCTCCAGGCCCGGCTGCATCTGGCGCGCAATCATAGGGAAGTGGTTCAAGAGATCGCCAAACGACCTGACCTCCTTCTTCCGTGGCATGGACGAGCTGGCGCCGCTTGCCGACGAACTGGCCACAACCGGCGGCTCAGCTCTTGCATTGTACTTGGGTCCCAGCGAAGCCGGTATGATGGGGTTGGGGTCGTATGTGCCGATGAGGGGGCGGGATATGAAGTAGACGAGCCAGGGCTGGGCATCGAAGGAGTCGGGGTAGAAGATGGTGTCGTTGAGGAGCTGGGCTTGGTTGAGTGTCTTGAAGCCTGCATTGTCATCAGCGCGTGACGATGCATGACGTACCGTACGCATGCTCACGAACCCTTGTTGCTGTATATGAAGGCATCTTTGACAATTACTGTGCGGCCGTTTGCGGTGGTGAACTGCTTTGCCTTGCCCCGCGATTCCCTGAAGCTGCCCGTGTCCCTGAGGTGGCCGTTGGGCCCCGCGCCGCCTGGGATGCGCAGAACATGACTGGCGAGGAAGTCTTCGGAACCGCTGAGGTCGGCGTACGACGTGTTCGATTCCTTGTCGCGCGAGGTCAGGAGGGCCTCAGTCGTCGGAACTAGAAGGACCTGGGAGCTGGAGTGTTAGCGACTGGGGATATATGGAATATGTTACACTGGGGCGCGTACGTGGTGCTGCGCTGGCTGGCACTGGCTGGGGAGTGCGCTACGGAAGAAGGCCCGTAGGAAGGGATTCAGCACGGGAGGCATTCAATCGACATTAACGGGGCTCTTGGGGAGAGTCGGCGTGCGCGTAGCATGTGTCCCGGGAGTATCTTATATAGCGCGCGGTCTGGTCGAGGGTGTGGCGTCGTATAGTGGCTTGGGTGTAAAGTCGTGAATAGGAGCCTGGAATGGCGATGGGCAGAGCAAAGACCTTGGACGGTTATGCCGGCGATGACCTGACGGGGGTTGTGGCGGTGCGCAGGGAGTCGGTAAGAGGCGAAATGCGAGATGGAGAGGCAGCAGAGACGCGGAGCGAGAGCAAGGGAGTTCGAGGCCGGCAAGGCGTCACAAGCAATTGGGAGTCGGAACTGGCACCACCAGGGCCATTGGCTTGTGAAGGTGAAGACGCTGCTAGCCCAGTATCGATTAGCGAGGAACGCGACTCTTTCGTCATCGCTCCCGTCCTCATCACACTCCCTCACCACCCCCACGTTACATCACATTACATCAACATACGCCGTCGATCCCATACCTGCAGCTGCGTGGATTTGGTATGACCATGCAGTAGCCCAAAGAAGCCTCGTCTAGACGCCATATATGGATGTGTGTGTTCATGTAGATCAGCCTTGTCTATCTACAGCCCTTACTTGCCAGCCTTCTTGCACAGCTTCGTCCCATAATCCAGCACACTCCACTTCTCCGTGCCAGGCGTAGTCTCGGTGAAGAAGACGCCCTCAGGATCCCATTTCTGGCGAATCTTCAGCAGTCTTGGGTAGTTGGTTCCCCAGTATGCCTCTTGCCAGTTGGGCTCATTGAGATCGCCCTCGTTGACATAGCTGGCTCCGTTGGGTGAAACATCTCTCAGTTTCTGACCCACAACATGCGTGTTGAAGTGTTCACGCTCCATCTTGACGTCCCATGACTCTGTGCCCTGCATCATCACATTGGTGATGACGAAGCTGCTCGCATTGCGCCAGGCAGGGTGGATGGCGTTGTCTACCTTGGGATACGCACGCCCAGGATTGACAATGTGACCGATGTCGACGCCCAGCTGGGTGGGTTCGGGCATTGCTGCATAGATGAGGGCATCGGCAATCTCATCGCCATGGCTGGCAATATCGCTTTGTGTGAAGAGACGGCCTCCGACAATCGACTGCTGGTTCGGCGGCTCATCCTCGAACATGTCGATGTACATTTCGAAGAAAGTTGGGAATGCCTTTGTATAAGCGTCATAGGGCACCTTGGCTGCATCCAGCTGCTCGTATAGTGGTGATAGAACTTTGGCCAGTTGTGCTTCGTTCATGTTGGGACCGACAAAAGGGGCAATGTGCAAACGGCCGGGACCAGCTACATGTCCAACCGTCAGTATACAGAACCAAGATCTCGCCGAAATACAAACTTACGTCCAATCTCAAAGTATACAAACATGTGATGATCACTGTAGTGGTTGGCCAAGTTGTGGAAAATACGAACACCCTTGGCAAACAGCTCAGTGTCGTTGGTGTGCGTAGAGTTGATGTTCAGAATCGTGGCAGCCGCGGGTACCTCTGGGAACGTCTTGACAGTGATGCTCACCACAACAGCAAAAGTACTGGGACCTCCACCCTTGAGAGCCCAGAAAAGGTCGGGATTCTCCTTGGCATTGGCAGTCACATACGTGCCAGCAGCAGTAATCGCGTCGAACGAGAGCACATTATCAGCGCCCATACCGTAGAGTCCCGTCAGAGGACCATGCCCACCACCTTGGATGTATCCACCAGCCCAACCTACAGTCTTCGTAGTGTCAGCACATATACCAACAACAAATCGATAAAAGAAAGCCAAGAAAAAACATACCGGACACTCCCCCCCAACAATAACCACCTTGGGCTTCTGTGCAAAACAGTTCCGATACAACTCCCTCCCTTGCACACCCGCCCCCACAACTGCCGCACCGCCACTCCAATCTCCCGGTCCAGTATACTTCTTGATAAACTCCACGTCTTTAAACCCATGCGTATTGATAATCAGCGCTCCGTACCCTGTTGATCGTCCCCTGTCCTCATTGTCAGCAAACAAAAAACCCTCACATTCCTAAAACAACCACATGCGAATTTAGGGATGATACTTACATAAAATCATGCCCCGTATTCCTTATAATCAATCTCAAATTCCTCTTTCGCGCAAAATCAACGCCGGCTTTGATGTGTTGCTTGGTTGTGGCGATGATAACGTAGCGACCGTAGAAGCCACGAGTGCAGGTTCCTGTTGCTGCGCTGTCGGGAAGACATGTGTTGTTTGTTTTCAAGGGCCAGAGGGTGGCGATGGGGTGGTCAGTGCTGTAGGGACGTCAGTCAGTACCAGTGGCGTTTTTTTGGAAGGGAGGTAGATGCTTACAGCCACTGTTCATCACCCCATTTCTCTTTCGTCTCAGCGCATTTAGCTGCATTGTAGACGCTGGTTTCATTGCCGAAGGACTGGTAGCATGGTGCGCCTGGTGGATAGGCGATTTGCAAACCGCCGGATACTGTCTTGTTGAGAGCGGCCCAGTCGGTGTTTGTGGGCCAGCAGGAGTTGTCGGAGTAGCATTTACCTTTTTTTGCACAGTCAGAATCCATATTTCTCTATCTCTTTCTGGAAAGGAGAACAGGGAAAGCTTACATTGGTACTCCACGCCCCCAACTTTCTTCACTTCACCAATCCATTCTGCGGCTTGTGCGCTGGTGCTTGCTATTAGCAATGCTGCGATTAAGGAGAAGCGAGGCATCTTGACTACGCAGAGCGACCTGAGAGACTTTTTCTGAGGATTTAGACATTTATTTGTATCTCCTGCGGAGTGCTCAGACTATGCCTAATCGAAGGCCCTAGTGCATTCTACCGCGTTTAGTACGGGTTAATAGGGTCTGCAGGTGTGTTGGACGCCTTAACTGCACCTCTTCATTGCCTCCAAACGCCATGTTGAGGTTCTTGAACCAGCCTTTTCACTATATGCCGCTGTTATGTACGAGCGGGCGAGTAAAAAGCTCTGTAGGAATCTCATTTGCATCTAAGAAGATCCTTAGTATGAACCAGAACAAGGATTCAGCTACCGAACCCATTAGGATAGAGACATGGTGAAGGCGAGATTGGGCTTAGCGGCGTACTCCTTTTCACTCGGTTAATATCGGGGTCCAATCCCTTTACATGCAAGACATGGAGGGGTGGCTTCGCTTCACGCCACAGTCGGGACGGTTTAGGAAGGCGTATCTTGTTCTAGTGGCCCTGATCAAGTGTGTAGGGTTTCCCCTGTGTGGCGAAGTGATCATCGTGCGGGGTTTGTAGTGTAGTGTTGGATCTAGATGTTCGATTAGTTCAGTGTGGGTCTAAGGTACATACTGTAGAACAGTATACCGGGATGTCTAGCAATCTTTGGAAGCAATTATTATTTAGACCAACTATGGACAACATATACTGAAGGCTCTTATAGTTAATCAACATGCAGCTGCATATGCACTGTGTACCGAGAGCCACCTTGATTCAAATCCTCAGTAGGAATCAAAAGGAATTAACCATCAACCATATTGACGCCCCAAGCGATGCCACAAGTCTCAATCTTAGTAAACACCCAATGTAGCCATCAACCACCATCCGGATCCAAATCGAGAAACCGTCTTGCACCACAAGCATGTATCGACAGATACCCACCAACCACACCCCAGAAAATCAACAGAAATAGGGGGCACGCCAAGTGGTGCGTCGATCCTCCATACTAGCCGTCTGGGAAGCCGGGAAAATGGAGCCGGCGCTCCAAAGCACTGCCACCAAGTTGCTACGTACGCTATACGCGTACGGCCTACGCGTGCGCTTCTTTTTACATTTCTTCCGCAATTCGCCCATCGATTTCGTGCCTAGTACACAATGTCTCTTGAAATGCGATCCAGCGTGCCAAGGCTAGTATCGCAAGCAAGCAAATCCAGGTCTGGGAACTCATTTTGGATCCGGCGTCGCGAGAACGGAATAGCGGTGACATGCGTAGCTCCCCCTTGGAGTCGTGTGACTTGCTTTACATAATACTGCTGCGGTACGCGTTCAACGTTTTCGTTAGTAGCAAGACTTCCCTCTCTTTCCAACTGGTCCTCGAGAAGGGAATATACATCTTTATCGAGCGTTTCGGTAAAACGACCCCAGACGAGGACTTCGAGGTCAGGACACAACACGTGCGCCCATTGAAAGAGCATTGTGGCGAGTTGCTGGGTCTCGGCTGCTACGTTTCTTCTCGGTTGGTCGGGATCGATGATTCGAAGACGGTCCTGGTAGAGATGCAGCATTTTCAAGTTTTTAAGCTTGCCAATCGGTTTCTAGCACAGTTTGTCAATATTTCCATAGTAACAACCCACGTGACTCAAACTTACGAGTTGTCCAAGGACATATTTCTGTCTGTCGTGCGCATCGGCCAGGAGACACCCCCCTATTTCCGCGACGCGCAATCCAAATTGCTCCAAAGCACCAAGCTCATCGCAAATCGCATCCAGTGATGCCATGGAAGGAAAATAGGAAACCCTCTTTTCCACAGACCATAAATCGAACAGCGAGAGAGACTTCAGCCTGGGACATAACGGCCAGATGTATGAACTCATAGTCGACCCATCATCTGCAAGCAGTGGCTCCAATGGCACTGTTTTCAAGAACCGCATATGAAGACTCAAGTGCTGGAGATTTTGATTCTGCGTAAACAAATCTTCAAAATCCATACTCTTTCTAACGTCAAAACTATCCGGAGAGTGAAAGTCGAAATGTGTCAGGTTTCGTAGCTCTGGGGAGCTGAAAAGCGGCTTCCAGTACCAAAAATTATCCGCGTAGAGAGAAAGTCTAGTTATGTGGGAGAGGTTGAAGATGTGAGGTATGGCGGAAACGAACCCTCCGGGTAAATAGCCATCGAACATCAATTCGCGGGAGACAATCTGTTTGTTCTGGAAAAGGGTGCTGTAGGAGCACCTGCTCCAGTAGTCTTCGAGCAAAAAAACGTCAAGTTCTTTTGGCAAGAGTAGGGCGAACTTTTCCAGTCGAGGTAATGTCTGAGCAAGTTCTACGAGGCCGAATGTTTTTTGCCCATCTCCACAGACTCCGGCTGTCACGCGCCTTGTCATGGGAGTTACAAGCTGCTGGAAGTTACCATGCGATAGTTGGAAATCGACAATCGACTGTTGCTGTTTCTGTAAAAGGTTGATGATAGATGGGTCTAGGTCGAGTTGTGAAAGATAACTGCGGATATTGAATTAGCCAAAAGAATCTTCTGTGCAGGTACTAAAATCAGGCAGCGCGGGATTGAAACCATGCCGGTGAAAAAGGGGAAGCTAACCGGAACGTGATCAGTTTATTCGAAGGAAACGATTGCAAAATCTGCAATAACAACGCGTCTCTCTCGCCATGGATCCACGGTGCCTTGTTGGGCAAAATCTTGTTGCATTCAAATATCGGAACATCAAGCAGACTTAGGTTTCGCGCGTACTCCAAGTGCCTGAATGCGCCAACTTCCAGGCATTGCCTGAACAGTGAGAGCTGGCCATTGCGAGTTCTAATGTCTAGCACAATGTTCTTGTACAAAACCTTTGTCGCAATAAGATTCCATGACTTTGATGTTAAGCAGAGTGCCAAAATATCTGGGTAGAGGCCGACCTAAACTGCCAGCGTCAGTGATGTTCTGTTGCACATCAGGGGCTAGGTGCTTTTGCTGGTGCGGGGTAGGCATACATAATCCAACACCATCAACTGAACATCTGTAGGAAGATATGAAAGAGCTTCAAGTTGACCCATCTCGCCCATGATTTAAGCCCGGTGGTAGAAGTTGCTCTAATCTGCGAGGGACGGTCCGATAGCTGAGGTCGATGGGCAATGGGGCAGTTTTGGCTAGTGGATCTTATTCGCCAACCGCGCAGTGTCTTGCACAATACATACATAGTAAGTCGTGACCTGTAGGATTCAGCTGCGGCTTGTGCACTTACGTCAGAGTGCAGTAGTGTTACAGAGTGAGCAAATCAAGCGTCAATGCTTTGGAGTCACAGGATCCTACGAAGAAATGCCGACATATTCGTCCGCTCTTCGAGCGAGCTTACATGTGAACAGTACGCGTAATATTCCACTGGACAACCAATGTGTGAGAGAGAGTAGAGAGTGTCTAACGTTACACGGCGATATATTACGATGGAAATTAGGATATCAGCTAATCATAGATCGTATTCTGTGAGTGGTATAAGACATGCGACACTAAGATTCGTGATGCTCGCGTTGTCGTGAGATAACATTCAAGTAAACGCGTTTTACTGCGCGTTTGGCCGATATGCCGGCATCCCATTCTTCTTTCCCCAGCTCCTGACTGTCCTGTTCAAATCTGGTGCTATAAACAACCAAGCAATCGCTGCTACAATCGCTCCTATCGCATCAATGACCCAGTTGTTCTTCTGACTACCAGACAAGCTGCCCCAGCGCATCAGGTGTACCAGGTAATTTGTCGGTGTCATGAAATTTCCGCTTTCTAGACCTTTGACGCAGCTGGTTGCTGCCTGTAGCTCGGTTTGCTTGGGATCGGCAGCCTCCAGCTCAAAGCTGACGGCATGCTTCGTCTTGTTCTCGTTCTCAAACCCTGGGGATAGTATGCTACCCGGGAACACAATATGAATGTCTACATCGAACGGCGCAGGTGTGATGCCTGTGTTGACATTGGAATGGCGCGCTGAGTTGTAGATTTGGACCTCTGAACGGAGCCCATCAGCGAGGTTGCGGAGGGCAGCCTTTGTCGGGGAGTAGGGCGAGTAGCCTGCAATGTTTATGAAGGCGAGTGAGGACGATGTCATGATGAACTTCCGTGGTGCTTCCTGGGTAGCGTTTTTCCCCTGTGGGCTATACGGCACCTCGGGATACAGCCAAGCTTGCAGCGCCTTTTGTGCCATATATGCTGTCGCGAAGTAGTTCAGCTCCATCTGTTTTCTCAGCGTGTCCGTGCTCGTTTCGATGAACAGCCCGGGAGTTGAGGATCCAGCAATGCACCAGACAACCTCGGGCATGCGGCCATTATTCCAAACTGTTGCTTCCTTGAGGATACGTGCATTCTCAGACTCGGAAGTTACGTCGGCCGCAATGTACGTGAAGCGCTGGGTGGAAGGGTTCTTTGCGCACGACTTTGCGCGTTGGACAGCGATTTCTAGGTTTTTTGCCGTGCGTGCGACCAGTATAAGATTGGCTCCCCGGGCAGAAAGGAGACAGGCAACCTCACTGCCCATGCCCTGCGATGAGCCGGTAAGGAGGACCGTCTACCAAATGTAAGCATTAGACATGTTGAACAGTATGCCAATGCACTTACCTTCCCATCTACGGGAAAACGATTGCTCATGGAGAAGCTGAAGCCCATGATGCCAAAGCTCAGTAGCCCGATGATGAGCACGAGGCCAGCTCCGACGAGGAATTGAAACATGAGGGGCGAGCGGCGGGGTCCTTCGGAGGATTTAACTAAGTAAGACGAAACAAGTGGCACCTGACGGTGCTTACGCTGTAGTGATCATTGCGCCTAGCATGCTCCTGTATTGTGGGATTATCGCACCATGCACCTTGGTGGTGAGAGAGGGACCCTGGCAACTTGTGAGTGGCTAGATTGCTTTGGTGGGGCGGTGTGCCGTGTGGGGCGTTGCGCCAGCACCCACAGTAGTACTGTGGCAGTGTTGCGGAAAGTGTTAAGAAGCACTGCATCTGTTATTGCTAAAAGACAACAGCAATTGCTATATGTGAAAACCAGACAGTTTGAGGGAAGCCAAAAGATGATGTACAGTGTTGTATTTGTTAGATTTCGGCCTTTTGCTTTTGATTCCCATTCAGATACTCTGTACCTCTAGACCATGCTATTGATCATAGAAGCGATTAGCTGTTCTCATGATCCAGCTTGCACTCAATACCTGAGGTTTTCGCAGGGCCACAAGGACACAGCAAGAATCGGCATCAGGAAATAGAAGTTTAGTCTTTCAGTAAGAAACAGATCTAGGAATCTTAAGCTCTTAAGCTCTTGCTCATTCAATCTTGTTATTTAGTACCTGACTATTGTCTGGAAACACTACACTCAGACGTAGCCTGTGTAGGCAACCACCTCACTTTTTTGCTCCTCATTTTGTACTTTACGCTTTGCAACAGCTGTTCTTCCACGCTAAAGTAACATTTATTAGAGAACAGAAGATCACATACAGGTGGTCAAGTATCTTCGTGTTAGTAATAGATATGTTTATCGAGTGAAGGTATAGTTTCGGAGATGAAAGTGTTTGCAAGGAAAGTCACTCCAATGCAAGTATCCAAAGTATCCAGAGCACATTCCGGGTCTCCGCTGTCATACCGGATGCTTGGCCTGTAATGAGTACACTGTCGTACCTCTCATTTGTGGGTTACATGTCGGATAAGGGAAAGGTGTGTATGAGTTGAAAAGAAAAGAAAGAACAAGCCAAATATATAAGAATGCAGCGTTGGAGGACCTTGCATCTACAATTCTTCACCACGTATTCCGCCAATTTCTTTTACCTCACAGTGTACACAATGAGAGTCTCTTGGATTACCATCGTTTCTGGTCTTTGCACCACAGCCTTTACCTATGAAACCCAGCAAGTTATGGGTGGACCAGACCTTGGTAGGCTACACCTCGGCAGGAATACGTACAAGTGCGAGAATGGCAAGCAGATCAAACTGTGGTAACACCAAGCATAACTGACAAGTAACCGTAGGTGCGACACCTTCGTTCACGTGTACGGACCCCCCGGCAGACAAACCAAACTGCTCATGCACTTGCACAAACGGCATCACTTTCGACCAACCTCTCTCTTTGGACTCCCAGAACTGCGCAGGCACTTCTGCCAACGACTGCCAGGCGGAGAAAGGCGAATGGGCCAGGCAAGAACAAGCGTTGAAGGATGAAATCACCAGAAAAACGCAAGAGCACAACGAATGCAAAATGGAGCTTTCAGCACACGTGCCTGCACAAATAAGAAGCCGCTACAGATACAAAGGCTGTATCCAAGTTACCCCGGGGAGCTCGTTCCTACCGGGCATCAGATCAGAAAGCGATACCATGACAGTCGAGCTATGTGCGGTGCAATGTCAGGCTTTCCAACACTTCGCTACGACAAACGCTAGAACTTGCTTTTGTGGTGATAAAGTCGTAGGAACGGTACTCGAGGTCAAACATTCAGACTGTAACAGCCCGTGCGCGGGTGACAAGACGGAGATGTGTGGGGCTTTCTGGAAGTTCAATTTGTATACGAAGGTGGTCTGAGTGGGTTTGATGGCCAATGTAGCGATAATAGGATCTTGCAGAGCAGCACCTACTGCTGCCTTCTTTTCTAGAAGATATCTTGCTAGAGAAGCAAGGGGTAGGATGGATGTGCTTATGTATAAAACGATCATCGTATCTTTATACTCTGTCATGCATTGAAAGTAATTGTGCACTTCCCTCTTCTGAAAGGGATCGTCTCTGAGTATACTGCAACGTGTACGATGCCTCTCGACAGCCCAGATGTGACTGACATTTCTCCACCGCTCATCTCTGCAAATGGTGTCCACGACTGGAGAGTGGGCCATGAGATGGGACCCTTGCAGATGCGCTTGGCCTAATCGTGGCTGGCTGCTCGGCAGCGAAGTGGGTCGCTCTCGATTGCCCGCGGAAATGCCAAGACTTTACTCGGAAAAAAAGTTGGGCGCGCGACAAAGACAACTGCGACAACGACTGACGAATATCGCCACAACACAGCAGAACGGCACAATCATGGCTAAGAAGAGAAAGGCGGGCGGCGGCGCATCTGGTGCATCCAAGGCGCCAAAAGAAGAGGACTCGCGAGTGAGGATCAATACCTTTGAAGATGTCGCCGATTCCGAGGATGAATTTCACATGAACCGCGACAAGGTGTTGCTGGACGAGGGACCTGCCGCCAAGAAGATGCGGAGGTACCAGGAAGAAGGTTGGTCTGGAGGTGATGGCAATTTTCACGAGTAGCGGCTGACATTGTGTCCAGATAAATTTCTTCAACTCTCAGATGAAGAGATTCTCGATGCTGGAAGCGACGACAATGACGAAGACGATTTTGACGACGACGTTAGCGATGGCTCAGACGACGAGAATTCTGGAAAGCGCAAGCCAGCCGATGAGGAAGACGAAGACGAAGAACTCGGAGCATGGGGCGCCTCGAAAAAGGACTACTACGATGCTGACGCTATTGAGACTGAACAAGACGCTCTGGACGAAGAGGCAGAAGCCAGACGCATACAAAAGAAGCAGCTGCAGAGCATGACCGAAGCTGATTTTGGCTTCGACCAAGACGAATGGCTTGGAGAGGACGCTGAAGAGAATGCTGAAGACGCCGCAGTGGTTACTGAGGTTCTGCCTCAACTTCAAATCACAGATGCCATGTCACAGGAGGAAAAGATGAAAATTATGCGGACGCGATACCCAGAGTTTGAGCATATTTCCAAGGAATATTTGCGACTACAACCCCTGCATGAGGAACTGGCCGCTGCTGCTAGTGCCGCTGAGAGGGTGCTGAAGGCGCAGGCGGCAAAGAATAACAGATTGGTCCCTACACCCATGGTCATCACAAAATACCGGGCATGCGCGGCGTATCTCGCTGCAATGGCCATGTACTTTGCTGTTCTTGGCTCCACCGCTACAGATGATGCAACTCCAGCTATCGCACTAGATCCTGTCGAGCTACATGAGCACCCAGTTATGGAGAGCTTGCTCAGGTGCCAGAAGATGTGGACACAGGTAGAGAGCCTGCCAATTGCTGATCCCATGGTTGAGACGGAAGATGGCGATGACGCTTCCGAGGATGAGGCAAGCTTTGCAGAGAGTGACAACGCCGATCTAGCTGTCAAGAAACCCACGAAGCAGAAGAAGACCAAGGCGCAAAGAGCGACGGAGATTGCGCAGGCAGAAGCAGCAGCACGACGTGCTACAAAATTGGCCAAGGCTGAGCAAGATCTCGCGTCGCTCGATACGCTTGCAGACAAGGCTGCACTCAAGAAAGCAGCGCGAAAGAAGAAGATCTCACAGCCCAAGCTCAACCTTCTCAACGCCGACGACTCAGACTTTGGCGAAGAGACAGCCCTCACTGCCCATGAAGCCGCCGAAAAGGCCAAGAAAAAGCGTTCCCTCCGCTTCTACACCTCTCAAATCGCCCAAAAAGCCAACAAGCGCGATGCGGCAGGCAAGGACTACAGCGGTGACGCCGATGTTCCCCACCGCGAGCGTCTCAAGGACCGACAAGCTCGTCTCCAAGCCGAAGCCGAGAAGCGCGGCCAACACAAGGACGCCGGCCCAGGCGTGGCACTCGGCGACGACGATGATGCCTCCTCCGCCGACGAAGCTCCCGGTACCCGCCGCGACGACTACGAAGACGAAGACGGCTACTACGACATGGTAGCCGCCCGCTCCAACGACAAAAAGCAAGCGAAACTCGAGCGCGCAGAAGCGTATGCCCTTGCTAAACAACAAGGTGCTCAAGTTATTGAAGCAGAAATCATTGGTGATGATGGGCGGCGTCAGATTTCTTATCAGATTCAGAAGAATAAGGTATGTTTCTCAATATCATATGCAAGTCTTCGTATACTTGCATGTATGGTCTTTTGGGGAATGTAAAAATGCTAACATGATCAAACAGGGATTAACACCGCATCGCAAGAAGAGCGTACGCAATCCGCGTGTGAAGAAGAAGGAAAAGTACAAGGAGAAGCAGAAGAAGCTCAAGAGTATGAAGCAGGTGTTTGATAAGAGTGCTGCGGCCAAGGGGAGCGCGAGTTATGGGGGTGAGCTTACGGGTATTAAGAGTGGGTTGGTTAGGAGTCGGAAGTTGTAGGTGGATGTGTAGAGGAAGATATGTTTTTTGCGTCGTTCTGGGTACATTGTATGATCAGAGCAAAAAAGGCAGTGTTGACAGGCGAAAGCCATGATTCATCTGCAAGAGTGGATCATACTATTCAAAGATTTATTCATCCAGTCCTTTTATGTTTTTCTCTAAAACGCCATGCAAAATGCTACGATATCTCCATTTCGAGACCAACAAGAAAAAGAAAAAGTACATGAAAACCCACCTCTCTAACACCACAACCTCAGCGTCCCATCTGCACCCGCAGAAACACACCACGGCTCCCTGGGATGCCAATCCAGCGCCATAACTCCCAACTTGCTCTTCACCTTGTGCCCCTTGAGCACCTTCAACGGCACAATCGTCGCATTCTCCATCAAATCACCCACAACCTTACCGTGGAAAACCTGAATCGTGCCATCATCCGAGGTATCAGCAAACAGCGGCAGACCACCCTGATGAAACTTGACCGAGCGCACCGCCTCCTTGTGGAACCGCATCGTCTTGTACGGTTTAGTCGAGAGATCCATATCCATCCAGAGGACACGCTTGTCGTATGAACTGACAATCAGATTGTCGCCACCTGGATGAACATCGATGTTGGAGATCCATTTCGCGCCGGGTTGCAGTATCTTGACGAGTTCCTGCTTGGCGAGATCGTAGGCACGGATCGTGTTGCGGGTTGCTGCGAAGAAGATTGCTTTGGACGGGTGGAACTGCGCTGTTTGGGCGAGACCCTTGAGGCGGCGGAAGGGAAGCTGGGTAAGGTGTTTGGAGATGGCGTGGATGGCGATTGCGGTGGATTGGCCGCGGGGGGAGACGGTGGTGAAGTATTCGCCTTTGCGGTGCCAGTTTAGGACTTTGATGGCAGAGCGGACTTGCACTTGGAGGAGGACACCCTTGGATTCGAGGCGTGTGCCCGGGCGACTCCATTTGCCAGGGGGTTGTTTGGGAGCATCTTCGCCCTTGGGTGTTGTGGCACCTTTTGTGGCGGCGTAGCCCCAGCCTGCGTCAAGGACGTCGCGGCTGGCTTGTTCGATGTCAGGGGAGAGAAGGGTAAAGGGGACGATGAGGAAGACGTTCTCGCCACAGGCAGCCGCGACGATAGATGCGTCCTTTGTGGGCCTCCATTGTACGGCGTCGACGGCCTCTTCATCTGAGAGCTTAGCATTCCAGACTTGTCGGCTAGTCAGAATTTCCCAGATTCGAATGTAGCCGTCGTCGCCTCCACTGGCAACGAAGATGCCGAGTGGGTCAACAGAGACGCAGCGTACGCGCCCTTCTTGTCCACGGAAAATTGCAGCACAAGTTGTAGGGAAAGGCTTGAGTTCCTCGGGGTTCGGTAGCTTGGGTAATAGGGATTCCGGGTCGATGTTGAGTCGGTTTCTTCGTACACGAGGAGCCAGGTAGAGGTCCAGACTTCGCTCGAATCGTTCCTTGACAAATGTCTCATAGCCGGGAACTTTGCGTAGCGCCTCGTAGTTCTTAGGCAAGAATTCCCTCTCTCGGTCCTCCTCGTCTGCCTCCAACCATGCCTTCTCCTCATCCGTGTCTGGTAGGTACTCAGGTGGTGGGTGGTAACTTGCTTCGTAGCCTGGCGGTGGCAGCTTGGGAGCGGGAATGTGCATTGTGTTGTCTGGCCGGGGCTTCTCGTCGGCCCAAACGTCAAAGGTGAATTCATCCTGCTCTTCTTCCTCTTCTTGCGGCGGCTTGTAGGGTTTGATGCGACCCTCTTTGATAGCCTTGACAAGCTTCATGACACGCTTGGCTTCGTGCTTGGAAGGAATGAATCGCCGCTTGGGCTCGGGCGCAGCGCTCAGTGGCATAATCTCCTGCTTGCCGGAGAAGTAGGCGACCATTTCCGGGTAGGGGTCGTAGCCATCCTCGACAACCTCATTCCTTGTGAGCCTCTTGAGCACGTCTAGCTCCTCTTCCGACAGGTTCAACGGCTTTCCTGTCTCGGGATCCGTCAGACCTGTCCAGCCCTTCGGTATGTCAATGCTATCCAAAAGCGCATCCAATGCCTCTCCCTTAGCTGGACGCATGATTTTCTTGCCGTTAATGTCATAGCCGATGTGGGGATATTCGTCGTAGTACTTGAGGTCAATATTGCCAATTGTGTTTGTAGCTTCGGCGTCGGAGTCGTCCGACTCGTAGATTGGGTCAATCTCTTTGTACAGGTAGCGGGTGTTGCCGTGTGCGTCTGTGGTCACAGTGTAATTGGGCCTGAGGTTTTCGTCGTCGTCTAGCTCTGCGCTTGCGCCAGTATCGAGGTCCATCTCATAGGTCGGTAATCCCTTCTTCTTTCGCAAAGGCCCGTCGGAGGTGTTGAGGTTGCGCATTTCCTCACGAATTTGCTCTTCATCACTGTTCTCCTCTTCCTCTTCCTCATCCTCTGCATCTTCATCGGAAAGGCCCTCAATCACGCTGCTGGCATCCGTCTCGACATCTTCTTGTTGGCTGTCGTCCGAGTCGTCTTCGGAATGCGACAAGATGCCCTCGAGCAGTCCGCCACCTAATTCATCTTCTGAATCGCTGGGCTCAGGCGCCGGGCGAGTGACGACCTTTCTCTTGCGCGGATTCACAGACATTTTGTTGGTGGTTTGGTGTTCTTTGCTTCACCTTTGCCGTGAACTGTCGCAACCTTCCAAAAATTATTCCTAGCGCCCCAAGATTTCGGCTTTAGCGTCTCGCACGTGCCACAATTCCATCGGCCAAGGCAGACGGACGCTTGGGACATGTACAACTTTGGGACTTGGAAACATCTCGACGACCATTCACCCCACGCAGTTACAGTGACGCCACCATCTACTGCTGCACGAGTGACACTGCATTGCATTGACTGCACACAGTAATACCACCGACTTAAGATGGCGACGCGCCACGCTGATTCCTCAAGGTACGACGACCGAGATCGTCGACGCTACAGCCCGCGGCGCGACAGATCCAGAGACAGAGACCGAGACCGTCGAGGAGACCGCTACAGTGGAGAGAGCCGCTTCAGAGATGACAGGGACCGCCGGGACCGTCGTGACCGGGATCGCGACACATACTACCGCCGCTCGCGCTCTCCCCCTCGCCGCCGTGACCGATCACGAGACCGTGGAGACCGCTACAGCAGACGGGACCGCGACGATGACAGAGACAGGCGCAGACGCTCTACTTCACGCCGGCCTGACTCTCGTTCGTCAATCACACCAGCGCCAGATAACAGACGGGATCGACTAGATGCTCCCCCGCGCGACGACAGGAAGAAAGACCCCGAGACACAAGCCAAGGACAAGCTCGCCGAACGCGCGGCAAAGCTGGCCGAATGGAAGAAGCGCAATGCTGAGCGTCTTGCCAAAGAAAAGACAGACACACAGGGCTCTGGTGCCTCACCAGCTGGCACTGCGCCTGCGACCCCCTCCGCTGCTGCTGCGACGCCGCCTCCCCAGGCCCCAGCAAGTGAGGCCAAGCTTGACACCGCTAAGACTAAAGTTCCGCAGAAGAGCGTTACTGAGAAACTCAAACAGAAGCAGCCCGAGAAGTCGACCTTCAAGCTGGATGCTTCTGCTGCCGCCCGCCCCTTGGACATGGCCAAACCTGCTGGCAAAACAGTGACGGCCGCTAGCAGTATGTCTTCCACCATACCCCCTTTACACAATCACGGGCTCACCCATACAGATCAATCAACAGCCAAGGGCAACGGCAACATTGGCTCTTTCGGCCTCAAGACTAAGACAGCAGCAGAAGCCGAGGCTGAAACTTCGAGAAAAGCCTTCCTCGACGAAGAAGGCCCAACGCGCAAGCGCAAGTTTCAAGCCCTCCCCGAATTTACTGCGAACGACGAACCTGAACCCGAAGCTGACGGTGCCGAAGACGATGACGCTGCAATGAGTGGCATTGGAAGTGATGATGAAGAGAACAATGCGGAGCTCCAGGCTCGCCTCGAGAAGCGTCGCGCGGATATCGCCAACGAGAACAACCAAGACGCTACCATGGAAGAAGCACCTACCGTCCAAGTCCCCGCCGCCGACAAGATGGACGTTGACGAAACTGTAGGGGCCGAAGAAGACGAAATCGATCCTCTCGATGCCTTTATGGCCGACTTGACCGAACCACAACCCAGCCGCGGTGCACCTTCGGGCCAGGCCATGTTCGCCGACGAGCTCGAGCCTGTCGAGACCTCTGTTGAGGCGCAAGATCTTCTCGAACTTCGTGCTGCCAAGAAAAAGAAGAAGGAGGTTGCCACTGTCGACCATGATAAAGTTGAGTACGAGCCGTTCCGAAAATCTTTTTACACTGAGCCGCTCGAGGTTTCTCAGATGACGCCAGAAGAAGTTGCCGATCTCCGTCATGAGCTTGACGGCATAAAAGTGAAGCCAGATGATGTGCCTCGTCCCGTCACCAAGTGGGCCCAGATGGGCTTGCTGCAGGCAACCATGGACGTCTTCACTCGCGTAGGCTACCAGAAGCCCACATCTATTCAGGCACAAGCTGCTCCCATTTCTCTTTCTGGACGTGACCTCATTGGTGTCGCGAAAACTGGTTCTGGAAAGACACTCGCGTTCGGTATACCTATGATTCGTCACATTCTTGATCAACGCCCACTGAAGCCGTCTGATGGTCCTATTGGACTGATCCTTGCTCCCACCCGAGAGTTGTCATTGCAAATTGTCCATGAGCTCAAACCGTTCCTCTCAGCTTCTGGCATAACTATCAAATGCGCTTACGGTGGACAGCCCATTTCCGACCAGATTGCTATGATTAAGCGTGGTGGCATACACATTCTCTGTGGAACACCCGGTCGCCTGATCGATTTGATGACTGCAAACCAGGGACGTGTGCTCTCCTTCCGCCGCATTACCTATGTTGTTCTTGATGAGGCTGATCGCATGTTCGACATGGGTTTTGAACCACAAGTCATGAAGATTCTTGCAAACGTGCGCCCCGACCGTCAAACCGTGCTCTTTTCAGCAACCATGCCAAAGAACATGGTTGCATTGGCCCGTAAAGCCCTGAACAATCCAGCAGAAGTGACAATCGGTGGTAGATCCAAAGTGGCTCCTGAGATTACCCAGATCATATCCATTGTTCCTAATAGTTATGAGAAAAAGATCAACCAGCTGCTCTTGCATCTCGGTCAGCTCTTTTCAGAGGATGAGAATGCACAGGTATTGATTTTCACCGAGCGGCAGGAAACTGCGGAAGATTTGTTGTCCAAGCTCTACAAGGCCAAGTATTTCTCTGTTAACACGATTCACGGAGCTAAAGATCAGACCGATCGTAACGAAGCGATCAGTGATTTCAGGCAAGGTGTTCTTTCTATTCTCATTGCCACGTCAGTAGCAGCACGTGGTCTGGATGTCCCCGGTCTGGCACTTGTCTTGAACTTTGACTGTCCAACTCACTGTAAGTACCAATTCCATCACTGCGTATATATAGTGTTTCTTTGCTAACATACTTGATAGTGGAAGATTACGTTCATAGGTGCGGTCGTACTGGTCGTGCAGGTAACAAGGGTACTGCTATTACCCTTATTGAGAACCCCGGTCAAGAGCGTTTTGCTATTCATCTTGTCAAAGCACTAAAGGAGAGCGGAGCAGAAGTTCCTGAAAAGCTTCAAGAAATGGCAGACACATTCCATGAGAAGGCCAAGGCAGGTACCGAAAAGTACTATGGTGGCTTTGGTGGTAAAGGTCTCGATCGACTTGATGCAACTCGTGCTCTTGAGAAGAAGCGCGAGAAGCGTCAGCTCAAGCTGGAAGGTATTGAAGACAGCGATGACGAAGAAGAAATTCTACCCATTGTCAAGAAGCCTGAGGTTACTGGTCCTGGCGCGGCCAAGGCTGCTGAAGGAACTACACCTGCTGCTGAAGTCGAAGATCAACCGCACTGGATGAAGCTGCTCAACAGCAAGATTGTTGTCAATAAGACCGAGCGCCCCGAGGCTGCAGCGACTGGCAAGCCGATGAGTGCAAGGGAGAGAGCCATGGCCGCTGCCTCCAAGGTCGACGGTAGGCTCAGCAAGAAGGGCATGATCCATGCGGGTCAGCCTATCGACAACAAGGGTCCTGACGCCGGTCTCTACCATTCAACTATTGAGATCAATGACTTTCCCCAGAAAGCTCGATGGGCCGTCACCAATCGAACCAATGTGGCCAAGATTCTGGATCAGACTGGTGTCTCAATTACGACAAAGGGTAACTTTTACCCACCTGGCAAGCAGCCTGGTGAGAATGATCTTCCCAAGCTGTACATTCTGGTTGAGGGAGATACGGAGAACATTGTCACACAGGCTATGATGGAACTCACCCGCCTCCTGCGCGAAGGTACAATTGCGGCAGAAGATGCATCTACGACTCGTACCGCCACTGGTCGATACAGTGTTGTTTGAGAGTCTTCCGCCTGTTAAGAATCTTCTTGCATGCGCATCCTTTTTTCCTATACGATTTCCACAGCTGTCACACTGCCACTACGAGTGTCAGACATTGTTGCGGCTCTCTTGTTTTCTGCTCAGGATTGATGGGGACGGACATTGCATTCGGAAACGGAAATGGACATTTGAACAAAGCGCACGCTTCCAGAGCATTCAGATGGGGTTTCAGCAAACAGGAATCTAAGATCCTCTTCAAAACGTGAGTGTGGATCTAATGTCGACTCACCCTCTTCTTTGATTTACACCACCTCGTAGCAGGTCTATCTTGAGCCGCAGCCTCAGCCTCCTTGTTCTTCCCGCTTCACCGATCGTGTGATAATCGGGTTCTACGGAAACGGCGTCTTTTGTACATTAAGAAAAATAAGTTCGCGCCTGCATTTCAGTTCTCTACACAGCAGCAACGGGTATGAGAGAAGGGACAGCAGGTTCTCAGTTCTACGTAGGGGTGAGGCTTCCTTTGTATGGACCTACACAGTTTGAGTGTCTTTTAAAAGAATGTGTTTAAATTGAAACTAGAATAATTCTCTTCAACGAATGCATAGTCGTCAAGTACTCTTTGCCTCTGCAACCTCTGATCGTGTCGCTGAATCCCTATTCCTACCACACTCCAGGCATTTGGTATCACAAACTCCCCAATAAACCACCGTCACACACGTTAGATTGTGCAAGAAGCCTCTTCCCGTCCGCACATACATGTAACTCATTCTAGAACCCACAATGACACCTCGCGTGGCCACCGGCCCTTGCTGCCGTCGACCGGTACCCATTTATATCCTCTCTTTTCACAACCGACGAATCGGGAGCGTACCAGCCCTGGCACTATGCCTTTTGCAGCAAACACAACCAACATGCATGCATACTAGCGAATAAGCACTAGCTGGAGTAGTTAAGAATCTTGCATACAGTAAGCTTCCACATGCCGTTTAGTTAGTTCCTGGCACAAGGGTGGCGGAGCCAAAAAATGCCACATGAAGTGGCAAAAAAGTGACTACCACCTGCGAAGGTGAGGGGAAGCGGGAAGCGAGAAAAGCAGATATACCCCAGAACACCGTGCGTGCGGTAAAGCATGGGAATTGGTCACGCTGGGTGCTTGTTTGTCGTCTTGCTTTCCGGCACATGCATGGTCCACGCCTCCATAGGCCTGGTGCCTAGGCTGGATTTGGATATCCCTTTGTCGAGCGGGTTTTGCTTCGTGCGCAGACCAAAGCGTGCGGGGGCTGAGGTTCTTTTACCCCAATTTCGGGGCCAAGATGAGCGGGAAGAGGTGGAAGGAACATGATGGAGGCGTATGGGGAAAAGTTTAATTTCGCGGCCACGCGGCCACGCTGGCGCGTTGAATGGTGGATGGTGGGTTGTGGGGGTTTTAGACCAACCACAGGAAGGGTTTTTCTCTTCGGCTATACCGTACAGTTCGTGTATCTTGCTGAAGCTTTGTCTTATCGAGCTTCTAGAATCTTGAGCGTGCTGGTTGCGGTAGAGGGAGTTCTTTTCTGGTTTAGCTCAGGCGTTGGAGGTATCCTTGTGCGATCAAACGTTCGACATCGCCCTGGCGGACGTAGAATTGGGAATTTTTGGTCAGGGTTATTGAGCTGTGCAATTTCATTGGTTGGTTAGCTTATCGGCTTTTGTTCCTGCCGTGCTTCGGCATGCCGAAGTTCATCAAGGGGTGACTATACGTACCCGTACTCGGTCTGTATCTCACCGGCATCCTTGAGCACTCGGACGTCAATGAAGAGATCGCGTGGTGGCTCCAGGCTCCCTGTTAGGTCGATATCTGTCCATTGGCCCTTATATGCCGCGAGGAGGTCACTGTACTGTCTTACGTATTCCTCCTCTTCTGGGCTCAGACTACTCTCCTCTCTTCCGCCCCCAGTACCTAGGGCGCTTCCCCTCGTGGCTTCTGCGGCGTGGTCTCTGCTACCCTGTTGCTCGAGTACGTCAATTCCCTCCCAACAATACTCTTCCAACTTATCACTGCGGACCCGGTGGTAGGCCAATAGACATCGCTTGTTGCGGCGCATGCAGAGGTGGTTGACAAGGAGTGCGCAAGCGGTTTCGGGTGAGGCGCTGGGATTGAAGGAGCCACTGTAAGGAGCGAGAATAGAGGACACGTCCTTATCCAGGTCGCGTACTTCGCGTACAATAGAGCGTGTAAGTTCCGAGGCGTAGGGCGGGAGATGAGGAAGGGCGAGGGTGCGCTTTGCGTTTTGGACCTGGCTTTTTCTTAGACGTGACCAAATCATGGGGCACCAAGGGTATCGCTACCAGCTTATTTGCTGCTTCGCCGTACATGGCTGAGGTATGTGTGTGTGTGTGCTGTTGGTAAGTTGGGGATATCGTGAGTAATGGCGACTTTTTGCCTAGGGTGCTATACTATATTCGAGTTGTACGAAGAGCAGCTATTTCCAGGCTTATGGCAATCCTGCTAATGGTGCAGAAGCAAGTTTCTGGATTGCCTTGAAGAGTGCATCTGTACTAGCATATCATGAGGAAGTGTTCAATTCGTGGATGGTTGCCCGACCCCTCATTGGTAGAAGAGCAAAGCGCGTCCGCGCTGGAGACAGGGGTGCATGGGTGGGGCAGAGACGGCAATAATAGGTCTTGGCATTGTCAAGTCCAATCTCACTCTTCTGGCAATCCCTTGCACACCACCATCTACCTACGCACCCTCACTCGCCAGACTCTACACAGGCCGCCTGGAAAGATGCGCGTCTTTAGTATCATCACAAATCATTTGGTCCGAGGAGTTTCGGCAACCGCGGTATCACGCCCGTAACATTTAGCAAAGAGTGTCTGCAGGAACATGAAGCTCTACTGGCTCTTTTCTGTCTATCTATAGCTGAATCATATCTAATGTGCTCCAATTTCCGGAGCTTTTTTCTTTAAAAAAAAAGGAGGCCATGTATGCTACCGGTGGTGTACGTAGCAAGGGTTCACCAGGCGCCATTCTACCCCCAACCAAGAGAATGGGTATCGTCGCGTGAAAGCTGAATCGTACATCATATTGCATGGAAACAACAAAATCACTCATACAGACATAAGCTGAAACGTCTCAACTCATTGTTCACCCACCCATTTGTCGAACTCCGACTCTTGCACCAAAGACACCATGGTCGGATCAGGTTGCCAAGCCTGATACTCGTCATGCGGAAGATCCAGCAAGTTGTCGAGGTCGTGATACGATAACGCTTCTTGCATGCTGATCTGGTTGTTCCGGAAATCGTTGGTTTGGAGAGATGCTAGATCAACACTGGACTGACTGCCTTCATATGCCAATAGCATCGGGTCCAACCGCCCCTCGTCAAAGGGCGTTCTCACATGTGGATGGAGTTGTTGGAGTAAGTCGTCCGCGCTGCCTCCGGGCAAGCCAAGCATCGACGGGTTCGATTGGAATTGGTTGGAGAGCGTCGAGGAACTCAACGACTTATGAAGGTCGTCTGCGTAGCTCGGGCTCATGTGCATGTTCGCATACGGTGCAGAGTGGTAAGGCCAGTTGTAGAGATCATTGTGGCTCATCGGCATTGGCATTGGCATAGGTCGTCCTTCATTCGTCATCTCCCATGAGGATCTGTTAACACCGTTCGCGTTTGGTCCGAATGCTCCATCGAAGTATTCTGCGCCAACCCCGGTTGATGGGTAACTGATCGAGCGTTCGATCCGTCTAGTTTGCCGAGGGCGTGACCTTCCCGCACCTGGGGCCCACTCGGTATCGTCCAAATCGCTCGGCTCTTCATCTTCTGACCATTCATTCCTTCGCTTCCGAGGTGGAGCGGCCGTCTTGCTTGGTGAAAATTTGTACGTCGGGTGCGCGTTCTGATGGTTGATTCTCTCAAGCTTTGCATATTCGCTGTAGAGGTCGCGGATCTCTGGCGGCTCAAGAGGCCAGCTTTCCCCGGCTACTGACGACACAACTTGATGGTTGTTTTGTAAGCACCATGACTTGGCTCTTTCTGCGAATGCTGATCTGTACAGCATGAATGAGTTCATTGGGCGAGCGATGTATCCGTTCCGCTTTTCTGCTTCTCGCCTTCGAACATCCGCCGGCCTGTTGACCCACTCTTCCATGTTCTTGATCGGAATGTTATGAAGCTCTTTTGTTAATATACTCAGCGGCGCAGTCAGCTTGGGTATTTTCTGCCTGTCTCCCTTTGCTGTTTTTGCTTTCCTGGATCTTTGTATTGCTTTTGGTCTTAGGCTAATCTGAGTCTCTGTTGGAGATATGGATGCGGTCATTGTTCTTCTGCTGCGGGTCGCCGCCCGACTAGATTCGTCGCCGTTGGCAGATCTTGGTGTTGGCGGAGAGAACAAGACTTGATCGTTCTATTATCCATTAGCCATGTCGCCACTGACTCTGCCTGGGACTCACTTACCGACATGCGGCCATACGAGCCGTTGGGAAAAAACTTTGTCGGCGGTTCATAACCGTCCTGGGGGTTGATCAGAATTTTAATGGGCATGAGAATGCAGGTTTGCTCACGTATTGTAGACCTACTAGTCCAAGTCCACGAATGTGGTCGTCGCCATGTGACGCATGCGAAGGGATGCCTTGGTGCGCCACCGAGCTTGGGGAACCATACCCTGCCTCACCGAATGAACATTCGTGGTCTGCGTTGTATTCGGCAACTTGGTGAAGTCCGACTTGGTACTCTGCCCCAGCATTCGGCGGGGTGGGAGGATGTTGTTGGATGAACGAATCACCCCTCATCGTTACGAGAATCAGCGCACAATGGAGTTGGCCGCTGCGACAGTGGAGATTGCGGGCGGACGCGCTGTTCTCTCTACCGCTTTTGTCTTCGCCTCCTGACTCAGTGCCTTACCAGAAGTGGCTGCGTCGATTTTCCAAGGTGGTAGTCTAGTAACAGGTCGAAAATATGTCTCTGCACTGCAGGTGAGGTGTTTCAGCAACTGAGGACGGTGGCTGAGACGTTGTCTCTGATCTCTAGTCTTGTATTGCTCAAGGCCCCTCCAGCCAAATGGTCGTGTTGCAAATGTGTTGCTGCATATAAGTCAGTAACTACAACTAAAACCTTGCTTCATGTCAGGTTTGCTGTGTCGCGACGATGCATAGCAGTCCGCAAAGCGTTCAGGGGACGAACTTATTGCAGCTACCCGTTTCTCACCGGCCCCGATGCTTTGGTATGTGTACAAGCAAATTCGACCACTACAAGACGCCAAATTGTAGGAAAGGTATGCAAATAGCGTACCTGAGCTGTGTTTTCCTGATCTGTTACTCTTTGCGGCGATGGCGGAGGAGCTAGAACAAGGTGTGAAGGGCGGATCAACTAAAGAGAATTCTTTGTCCAGGGCCAGTCATAAGATGATATTTGTAACGAACTACTCAATATCGAGTTCTACTGTTCACTTACACTGTAGTGTATCTGCGTCTCAGCGTGGACAAAGAGACTACCGGATTGGTGATGGCTGGGTACGCTTGCCGCACTAAGGAGCTGCGCTGTTTTTGTACTATTAGCCTCCCCACTGATTCAACACATACCTGATGGCGCAAACTTAGCCCTCTGGTCCGTTCACGTCTCGAAGCTCAGTAACTCGCGTTTTTTTCTCCAGTGGTGTGGAAAACGGCCCTCAGCCCCTCCGCCATGATAGCTCTGGGCGGAAGCTACGCCTGATTAGGACGCCCTTTCGCAAGATTCATCCAGCCTCAGTGAGTGTTTACCAGTTTTGACAAGGATCCAACATGGCTTGCAGCAGTCATGTGCCCTTGGCGTTCACCATCGTAAGCCACATTCACTGGTATCTTTAGCTATTGGTACTCCCTGGGGAATTATGATCAATCAGATCATGGCTACTCGTCAAATACCAATCACAGCTTTGGCGCTGACGGTCCTTCCTCTTTCAAAATCAGTATCGTGGGAGGTACTTGATCTCAATCTTCTTACAGGTTCAGATTGGTTGGCGGAAATACACCTGGTCATTCCGTCACTTAGCAGCTTGATTTAGCGTCCTCCTTACGGATGGCTGCATATCATATATGCCAGAACCCTGACAGTTGGTCATGCTTGGTAGGGCTAGCCATAATACCGCAATATCTAAAGTCTATCATGCGGGCTAACATGCATCTATGCAATCAGTTCATGGGAAAACCCTGAACTAGCTGGTACTCAAACATGATACATCTGTTGATTTTGGCATTTGCAGCGGGTGGACAAAGGACCAACATGGTATTCCGATACGCTGGTCATGGTGCGCCACTACAGTAAGGCTGAGCAGCCCGTTGACCGCTTGAACCAAGAACAATCTCGTCAACCCTGTCCGTTCGCGGCTGTTTAGTTCAGCGTGAATGAATTCTGAGGCAGGTCTATTCGGGGAACTTGGTATTCAATATCTCTAAGCGACAAGCAGTGGACAACTCAGCAAGGTCTTGCACACTGGATGCATGCAGCAAAAAGTTCAGTTACTTCCGGTCGATCGTGTCGATATGCGCTTCCTGTAGACCTCCTTCCGGAATGAGTGCTAGGACCATTGTGGTATGTCAACCAAACAGTCTCAACTTTGTGTAACCCCGTTTGACCGACCCTCAAAGGCAGTGTCAATTGGTCTGAGCAAGCGCGAAACAAATGTGGATCCCATCACTACCGACATCACTGTAGATCAGGGGGTTCGATGTAGTTTGTGAAATTTGGACATGTCTGTTTTGGCCGGTACACCTAGAACAACGGTAAATAAGCTACGATGACGATTGTAGTTCCGTCAAAGTGTTCTAGAAGTACACATCAGCTAGCTCGATCAGTAATGGATCACTTCTGGGGATATTACGTTGTGTTACCACTGTCAGATGCTAAACTCTCGCCGTAGAAAGGAACCTATGGGCACATATGCATCTAGGCGACTTCATCACTGTCAACGACCACCTGCTGTGCCCTTATCCTGACTTCAGCTCACTCAAGCCAGCGATACTCTCATCGCTAGCCAGAAGTTATTGCTGAGCCGCCAGTCCACGTTTTGAGACTCCGATGTCACGAGGGTGTCAGTAAGGCTTGCAGTATATCCACTGCTAGCTGTCCGTAAGGAACGCTGCGCGTATCTCACGGGCTCATATCAATGGTTATATTTTTATAATTTGATTGGCTGTAAAAAATAGTAACGAATGGAAAGCTAGCGATTATGCTCTCCATGGCAGCCAATGATCACTGTAGCCCCCCTACTTCATGCAAGCGCGAGAGGGTTTCGACGGTTTACCCCACTTGATCACAATCATTACCACGGAACATTTACATAGCACAGAAGTGCCGTCGACAGTCTAGCCGTCGTCACCAACATATTTTGGGACACTACGGTCTGTAGGCTCCAGCAGCAGTCCCTTTCTGCCCACAGGATAATAGCGACCGCGTTAAGCGACATGATTGGACCGTCGCAAGTAGGCGAACGGTTGCGGTTGAATCAAGAAACTATGCCGTGAGGTTCTTGCTCGGGGCTCCCGCTGATTAATGTGGGACTCAAATGCAATAATCGCGCCATTTCCGGACCAAGCACGTAGTGAATGGTAGCCACTAACTGCTTGAAG